ACACACACACACACACACACACACACACACACACACACACACACACACACACACACACACACACACACACACACACACACACACATACACATCCGCATATAGCCACATGCTCTGTGTCTCTCGTCACCCGTCTCTTGCCCGCCTTCTTTGCTGGGCTTGGTTGCTCCGCTCATCCTTTTGTGATTTGTCGTGCCAAATGAAAATATCTCATCTCCGCAGGGGCAAACTCTTGATTGCTCAAGCCTTGCTGGAAGCCGGTGCTGATCTATCCTCACCCGTTCACTCCGGTGACTATTGGGTCCCACCACCACCAGCACCGCCCAAGCCGGTGTGTTGGCCTGCTTATCACGGCGACCTGCTTTTCTTTGCTGTTGTCTCAACATGCCTCACTCACTGTCATGCTCGTGCTTTGTTGATGCAACTTAACAGGAGAAAAAGGCCAAAAAGGCCAAGAGCAAGAAGAAAAAGAAATAGAGCCCTAGCTGCCGTTGCACTGCCGTTCCTGAAAGCGCCGTTGTCGTTGGCCAAAAGGCTTGATCGGGTTTCGTTTTTTGCCACCACATCAGTGGCGAAGTGGTTCGATCGGCGGGCGAGTAGCGTTGGTTGAAAGGAGCTTCTGTCCACGTGTGGTGGGTGGCTTGGCCACCCCAGATGAACTGAAGAGCTGGTCTCTCCGTGGACGTGGTTGGTGTCATGTTATATCTTTTTGGGTGTTTCTCTTGATTGTCTCTTAGTTCCAGTGCAGCCAGATTGCGTTTGCCTGGAGGCCGCTGTGGGGTCATTCTGCATAGTTGATGCTTAGATTTGCACACGGCGCCAGCTAGTGTTTGATACGACTCGTGGCAACCCTTCCCTTTTTCTCTTTGCCTGTTTTGGCCCTGACCCCCCGTTAACCCCCCCTGCACATCCTACACACGAAGAGACCCCGATCATGCATCCCTACTCCCAAACACCGCCATCGCAAGTCACCAATAAGCCGGCTTCCTACCACCACCAAAACAAGTTTTCCAGTGTGTGTGTGTGTGTGTGTGTGAAAAAAAAAACTTGAACGTGTGTAAGGAAAATTCTTTTGTTCTTTTTCTTTGTCCTTGTGGTACGAGAGAGAGAGAGAGAGAGAGAGAGAGAGAGAGAGAGAGAGAGAGAGAGAGAGAGAGAGAGAGAGAGAGAGAGAGAGAGAGAAGGAGAGAGAGAGAGAGAGAGAGAAGGAGAGAGACACGAGGTGTATCGTTTCGATCAAATGGCAGCGCGAATGTTGTGTGTGGGGCTTGGTGGCGGGGTCATTGGGCATGGCCAGTGAAATGTGAAGCAAGGGTATAGTGGCGGTCAACTTGATGTCCTACTCGCGTGGTCTGATGCTCGTTCCTGATGGCTGGTACTCTTGGGACTTCGGCAGGGCGCCAGCATTCCAACATGGCGGGCAAGGGAGCCAAGCTGCCAAGCTTCATTGCGAGCCACCTGGCGGGCGCCAGTGTGCCGCCGGGTGCTTCGCGCGAGTTTGTCAACCTGATCAAGGCCATTGGCGAAGCCGGCACCAACCATGTAGGATCATCGCACCGCCTTATCCGCTTGTCTTCAGACAGTCCGTCCGCCCGATGAATGGTGCCAACGCAGCACGCACCGCCGTTTGATCAACAGCTCTCACAGCAACTTGCGGTTTCGATGCAAATCCGTACAGGAGGAAGGCCGCATCATCCAGCGCGAGGTGAAAAACCTCGAGACCAAGCTCCGCGAACCCAACATCTCCAAGGTATGCCTTTTGACTCCTCCGAGGCCTCTGCCCGAGCACATCTCTTCTTCAAATACAGCAACGCTTCTTGCCCCTCACAACCCACTGCTCCGTGCCTTCTCCGTCCTATCCATCTGCAGCGGCAAATGCGCGAGTACTTAATCCGCCTGATGTACTGTGAGATGCTGGGCCATGAAGTGTCTTTCGGCTACATTCACGCCGTCAAGTTTACCCAGCATACCTCCCTCTTGGACAAGCGCGCCGGCTACCTGGCCGTCTCTACCCTCCTTCACAAAGACCACGAGCTCATCCTCTTGTTGGTCAACGCCATTCAACGAGACCTGCAGTCGAGCAACGTTGTGGAAGTCTGCACCGCGCTCACGGCCGTATGTCAAAGCGCTCGTTCTCTTTCTAATCACACTTTCTTGTTTTTCCTCGTGTCCTTTTTCCTTTCCCTCCCGCTTCTCCAGCCTACTGTCCAGAGCCTGGCCTCGTGTTTTTTGTTCTGTGACTGTTGCTCGGATCGCCCTCACCCCTATTTCGGTGGTCCCCTTCTAGGTGTGCCGACTGATTGGCGAGGAAATGATTCCGGCCGTGCTCTCGCATGTTGAAGCCAAGCTTGGCCATCCTCGTGAAATTGTGCGCAAAAAAGCCGTTCTGTGCCTGCACCGCTTCTACCAGCAATCACCACACTCGATCGACCACCTTCGTGATCGCTTGCGCCGAGCCCTCTGCGACCAGGATCCGGGTGTCATGGCAGCGTCGTTGAACCTGTTTTACGACATGTCCATTGTTGATCCGGGCCAGTTCAAGGACTTGACCCCGTCCTTTGTCAGCATTCTGAAACAAATCATCGACCATCGCCTGCCCCGCGAGTTTGATTACCACAAGGTTCCTGCGCCATGGATCCAAATCAAGCTGCTCAAGATCCTCGCCCTCCTTGGCGCCGACGACCAAAGCGTGAGCGAATCAATCTATGAGGTGCTTCGAGACACCATGCGCCGTGCCGACATCCAGTCCACGGTTGCCTACGGTAAGCCACGGCGCATTTTGATCTGCTCTGCTCCCGCCTTGGGCCTCGACGACAAGCTGCGTCTGTCAACCCGATATCAATGCCCGTCCTTGCTCCGAAACTCACCTCGACGCTCTTATACCGCACAGCCATCATGTACGAGTGCGTCTTGACTTGTGCCAAGATCTACCCTAGCACGCAGCTCATTGAAATGGCTGCCGGCAACGTGGGCCGTTTCCTCCGCTCTGGTAACAATAATCTCAAGTGCGTCACAAACTTTCCCTGAGACCCTCCTCCCCGCGCCCGCCACATCGATTTCTGCTCATTTTGTTGCAATAGGTACCTTGGCATCACTGCGTTGGCAGCCATCGTTTCCGTCAACCCCGTGCACGCAGCTGACTACAAAACCCTGGTGATTGACTGCCTGGACGATCCTGATGAGACTCTGAAGAGGAAGACGCTTGACCTTCTTTGCAAGATGACCAACCCAGCCAATGTCAAAGTGATCGTGGAGAAGCTGGTCGGGTGCGTGTGCGCGCCACCCCAAGACTGCACAGCACACCCATCTTTCCGTGGTCCATCCGGCTTTGCCTGCAGAGTTCGACATGTTCCTTGTCCGCCGTACTCATTCGTGGTTGCACCATCCATGTGGTGAATAGGTATCTCAAGTCAACCGTTGACATGTATTTGCGCAAGGACCTGACGCCTCGCATCCTCCAGTTGGCGGATCGTTTTGCCCCTGATCATTTGTGGTATTTGGAAACCATGAACTCACTTTTCCGCACAGCCGGCGATCTCGTCTCGGCCAAAACCGCCAACAATCTCATGCAGCTTATTGCAGAAGGTGAGGCCCGTGTCCGTTTACCCACACACCCTCTCCCCCTCCCCCATACACACCAAAAATGCCGACTTTTCTTGTCATCTTCAAACAACAGCGCACACTTGAAAAAGCCCCGCCCACGTTTTTTTTTTTTTTCCCTTCAACTTTTCTCTACCTACAGGTGATGATGATGATGAGGCCGACGAAGAGTTACGCTCCTATGCGGCCAGTTGCTACATTGACCTGCTCGAGGTGCCAAACCTACCGGATGTCCTCATCCAGACCATGGCGTGGGTGATTGGCGAGTACTCCTACTTGGCCACGGACTACGACCAGGAAGTGGTTCTCGAGCTGATGGGCGAGCTTTTGGATCGCACCTACGCCTCTGACTCGGAGACCAAGGGTTGGATTGTATCCGGCATTGCCAAGCTCATTGCTCAAACAGGCCTCTTCCCGGCCGTCATTCGCAATCGCCTCAATGCCTTGGCCGCCGCCAGCACGTCCTCGGTTGATTTGCAGACGCGCTGCGTTCAAGCCCTGGCCCTCGTTCAGAATGGCGCCCTCATGCAAAGCATCTACCCTACAGATGCCAGTTGCGAAGATCTGGAGGTCGATCCTGAGCTAAACTTTCTCAACGGTTTGGTTCAAATGGCATTGTCCCAAGGTGCTGCGCCGTACAAACCACCCGAGGCCCGGCCAGCGCCTGCACCCGTTCCTGAGCCAGAGACGTCGCGGCTGCAATCTGCGTTCCGTTTTGAGGCCTACGAAACCCCGAGTGAGCCGCCACCACCCTCGCTCACAAACCAAGACGAGGGCCTCTTTGCAGGCATTGGAGCAACCTCGGGCATGGGTGGCGGCAGCTCCACCCACCTGGCTTCAGGTGCCGGCTCCGCTCAGCCCTCGGGCGCCAACTCCCCTGCGACCGCCCGCCGCCTCGATGGCAAGAAGCTCAATCCTGCCAAGCCGGCCAATGAGCTTCAGGTTTGTTCGAGAAAAGCGAACATGTCACGCCATTCCGCTCCGGGGCTTGAACGCCCTGGGTCCGGCCCTGGCTCCCGTGTGCCTGATGCATTTCAAGCCGTGTATCCACCCTTATCAGTCTGTGCCATGTCCTATTCCTATAGGTTTCGGGTGGACCTTGGTCGCGTGGTGGCTTTAAGCTGAAAAAGAAAGCTGCTGAGGAAGAACCTACGCCTGCCGCTGCCGCTGCCGCGCCTGCAGCAGAGTCCAACGCAGGTGAAGCCGACCTGTTGGGTACTGGCAGCGATGCTGGCTTCGGTGCTACCACCACCTCCGAAGAAGCCGCGGCTGCTCCCGCGCCGCGAGAACCAGAACCAGAACCAGAGCCGTACGTGCCGCCGGTCCGCAGTGAGAAGGCCAAACTTGCCGATGAGCTCTTTGCCGTGGGTCAAGAGTCTGCTGGTGGAGCTGGTCGGGCGTCCAAGCGTCAATCACGAGCCCGCAAAGGACGTGCTTACAAGAATAAAACCGGCGGAGATGATCAAGGACCGGATCTGCTGGGTGACAGCAGCGTCGCTCCCCCATCCTCCAGCGCCGACCTTTTGTCCCTGGATTTGGGCATGGGCTCGGGCACGGCTGCTTCTGCTTCATCTTATACAGCTCCTGCTAATACGGGTGGAAGTCTCCTGGATGATTTTGCTGGCCTGGGTCTGAGCTCTAGCACGGATCAGGCAGTACCTCCCCCACCCTCATACGACTATGCGGCAAGCCTTTTGGCGGGTGGTAACACCAGTGGCACAAACAACACCAACGGCCTCGGTGTCGGTGGTGGCACGGATTTTGACCTGTTGTCACCTCCACAGTCTGCCGCTTCGGCGGCCACCTCAGGGGGCATCGACTCGCTGCTTGACTTTGGAGGTCCTTCGACCGGTGGTGGTGATTTGCTCATGCCCACGCAGTCGTCCACGACCACAGCGAGCGATGGTTTGGGCAACACGGCTGCAGCCAGCAGCACCAGCCCGTTCGCTGGCTTGGGCATTGGAGACACGGTCTCAACTGGAACAGGTGGCACTGGTGCGGACATGTCCGTCCCGGCGGAGCTGCAAGGTTTTGCCCACGAAGACCATCCGACACGTTTGAACGGCGATGCAACCGTGGCGGTGTTGGCACGCAAGGTTTGGCGTCCGGACGCGTTGGACGTGGTCCTCTACGTGCAAAACCGCACGGGCACCGCGCTGACTAGCGTGATGACGCGCGTGGATCCATCGGGTGGCTTGCAGCGATGTGATAGCAATGCACATGAGAACCGGTTTTCTAACCGTATTGGAGGCAACGATGTGCAGCGCTACATCCTGAGCTTTAGCACGCCAACCGTGAAGAGTGGCATGGCGCTCAAGGGTCAATGCAGCTATACGGAAGGCGGCAAGACGCACAACGTTCACTTTACTCTTGGCATCAAGGCCAACGATGTGCTGCGTCCGTTGACCATCAGCACGGATCGTTTTGGTCAGCTGTGGCAAGCCACCTCTTCGCAGCGCGCGCTCAAGCTGCAGTCGCGACAGGTGTCTTCCGTCGCGGCCCTGCAGCAGGTGTGCGAAGCTTCCCATTTTCACTGCGTCCAGGTGATCGGCACTGAAGTCATCTTTGCGGCCCAGGTAAGCGCGCCCCACATTTGATTACGATTGTCCATGTATGGGTTTGTTTGTGTCTTTGACGCTTGTGTTTAGGGGAGAGGCCGGAAATGTGTTAGCGCTCTTTTTTTTTTTCCTTGTGTGTTTGTTTGTTTGAAACAAATACACATCTCACGACGTTTCCTCCATCGGGCGGTCACAGGTACTCAACCACGAACAGCAGCCATGCCTATTGCACACCAAGCTCAACGCACCAGTTATCGAGGTGCAGGTGCACGCGCACGCTACGCCATACGCCGAAAGCGTGCTCAAGCTGTTGGAAGACAATTTGTCGTAAACCTTGACAACCCGCCAAGTGCCACTGCATGGTTATAAAGAATTTTCTCTTGCAAAGTGCTGCTCTTGAAACCATTCAATTGGCTGAACGATGCCTTCTGAATGTTTTGAGAGCAAAAGCCTCGCATTGTCTCCTCTTCTCTTCCGTTCGCAGGACATACCCCCAATTGAGTAGTGGCGGACAAAACCCAAATTTGTGTTTACGGCTATTTCCTTCTCTCTTTGAAAGAGTTGAGCGTTTGGTCCATCGATTGATTGATTTGTTCAGATGAAATGTCCTACAGGGCCGGCTTGTTGGACTCGGTGTTGAAGAAGCGCCGGATCACTACCACCTGCAAGGCACCCACGGCGACGACGACCGCAATCTCGAGCGAAGAAAACATCTGTGTGACCCCAGGAGGATCAGAATATGATGGAAAACCCGTGAAAGGATATTGAGCCGCTCAAACAGTGTCCCACCTCCAAGCAAAATAGCAAAAGCATGCTTTCTCGAGCTAGCGCACTGTACGCCTCTCGGGTCACGTACCATGACTTGTTGGTCCTTGAACTCGGCAGTCTCGATTTGACGATGGTAGCGGGTACCAATGTGCGAGGCGAGGCGCTGGCAGGTTTGGAGGTGGCGATGTACACGCTTGGCACTCTCTTCCATCTCGTGCATGGAGGCGTCGGCGCTTGGCAATGAGTCGTCGTTGTCATAATCGACAAACAGCGAGAAATAGATGGCCTTTTGCGTCATGGTAGAGAAGCGGTTGCTGAAGCAAAACTGCCGAAATGTGAAATGCCCCGCGATGGTGAGTGCACAATCTGGGACCTGGGCCTGGGGCTTGGAGTCGTGAACACGAGGCTAGATCCAGGAACCCAATCTTACCTTCCAAGTACCAGCGGCAGGGATATTTGATTCGTGACCACCCTCACGCTTACGCACGCCGCGCTCCATCAGCTGTCCGTTGGGTGCCGTCACGGAGAAGTCAACATCGCGATTGCCGCCAGATGTTACCTATGGATGTGCCCACCGAAAATACCAGCTTGATTCCGGGGTTCTCAGCAGCGGATATACCAGGATTGTTGCGCAGGCATTTGCCGAGTGTTCGCGTCAACAAAGCGGGCCTCGATCCGTTCGTACCTGAAAATCCATGTCGAGCAGCTTGGGCTTGAGACTAGCATCAACGTCTTCAAAATAGCACTGCTCCTCACCAGCATCAAGAACGACGGTAAAGGAGCTGCCCAAGGCATGGCTCACGGCCACTAGCCCCAACACAAGCAGCGCCATCCGGCACCAGGCGCGACCCGATGCCATGCTTGCCATGCTTGCCAATGCTGACACCCTCACAGCGAAGCTTCAAAAGAGAAATCCGCACGCAGCGATTCTCGTCACCAATTGGCGCACGAGGCAATTAAACCGGCCGCCTGATATCCAGCACGATCGATCCGGTCCTTGTACCACCCTTGGCGCGATCTGTATCTGCACGGGGCTGCACCGCCACTGCCACTGCCACTGCGTGCGCGTACACACACTCTCTCACACACACACACACACCAGAGAGAGAGAACAAGAAAAAATAAAAGAGATCCAGGGAACAAGACTCGGCTACCAAATGTCAATGCGCGGATGTGTGTGTGTGAAATTGTCAGAAGAATCTCTCTCTCTCTCTCTCTCTCTCTCTCTCTCGATGCGGAGCGGCGGCGGATCTGGCGCGGCGTGGAATGATACGAGGTCTGTCGATCAATTGGCTCTTCATAAGAACAAGACGGTTATGATTCTAGGATGTGAAAGGGTTGGATGCATGTGCTTGTTGATGGCCGACCATCTCGGAAGGGCGATGAGGGCATACAGGGGCTAGCCGGCTTGGGCCAGGTTGACTCGCGGTGGAAAGACGACTGCACTTGTATGGCGAGGTCCACGGAGGACAAGCGGGCCATCACGCCAAGCTGAGCCGTTGAAAATTTCCACGTTGTAAACTGATTCAATGGCGGCTCCGCCGATCGCGAACAGCTCGCCTTCGTAGACCACACAGCTCAAGGCTCGACGAGGCTGGGAGAGGGCAGGTGCCTCGGCCCAGTCGACACCATCAAACGTCCAGACGCCGCTGAACACCGTGTTATTGGTACCACCGACAACATAGAGCAGCCCTTGAAAAACAGACAGCCCAAATGCACGAACTGCTTGTGGCATTTCACGGTCCACAAGGGACCATGCCTCGCCATCAAAGGTCTCGAGGTGGGACACAAAATGGGTGTCGTTGGAGCCTCCCACCACGTAGAGGCGGTCCTGAAAGACAACAGCGCCAAAGGAATGGCGAGCAATGATCATGGGCGGACCTTCCGCCCATGAAGAGCCTTTGAAGACCTCGACCGAGCTGAGTGCATGCATGTTGTCATATCCACCCAAGGCATAAAGTCGGCCTCGAAACGTGACGGCTTCCAGCTGAGCACGGGCGATGTTGAGCGAGGGCCCCTCGTACCAAGCAAAGCGATTGAATACATCAACCCGTGATTGCGCCTGGGGCGAGCCCCCCAAGTAGTATAAATACTCCCCGTACACAGCAGCAGCTGCGGCGGCACGGGGCGTTGGCAGCGAGGGGCCCATTGTCCAGTTGTAGCCATCAAACAGTTGAACATCAGACGTCACGTTGTTTTCAACAACGCCTCCAATCAGGTAAATTTGTGGCTTGATCAGCTGTGGAAAGGCAGCATCCAGCAAAGCCCGTTGTGATGCCACGACGGCCTGAAGGTGGGCAAGCTGATCAAAGACCGCGTCCAGGTCGTGCCCATTGACGTAAACCCGGGTCTGTTCACCACGCACGGTGGAGCTGTTGAGATGCAAATGACCTGCCTGATCTACAAACACGAAAGCCTGCTCGTCCGCTTCACCTCGGCTTGGATGCCCTCCCAACAGCACCACCACCAGGCCCACGACAGCGAGCCATTGGGCCATGTTTGCCCCTCTCCTGATTCAACGTTCAGAAAAAAAAAAAAAAAAAAAAATTACATCAGATGTATGATGACTTTGAAATTAAAAAATTTTCACGTTAGCAGGTTGATGGTTGTCTGGGCATGCCGCGCCAGCAGGCTGTTAATGATCGTTACTGTTTCAATGGCGTGCGTGATTAATTCGCAGAGGGAGGTCCGTGACAAACGGCATGGTCTCCGATGAATTGGCAAGGTACGCGATAAACACGGGCACACAAAACAAAGGTCGTAGTCGCCCCATTGGAAACCAACAGATCAAGTTGATAAACACACATCCTACAAGTGCACACACGAGCAAACAATTGCCTGCCACAAAAACACAGCAAAGAAAGAGGCAAGTCACCATGGCTGTGTAGATGGTGGAAACAAGAAGGGACGAAAGCAGAGCTGAAACTTGGCTTTTTTTTGGCGTGCAGCTGGGCATGCTTGGGACACGGCACAAATTGATTGCTCATTGAATCACATGAGAGCGATACAGCTGTGTACCATGCATTAAAGCCAGTCTTTGCTGGTCGTTTCCGGCAAGACATGCAAATGGAGCCCAGTTGTTCATGGTCCTTTACAAGGATGCAGTGCCGGCCTGGGCGGCGGCATGAACCTTGGCAAAGAAGGGGTGTGCCATGGCTTCACGAGCCGTGAGGCGCTCCTGGTGGTCGTAACGCAACAATTTGTCCAACAAATCGACGGCCTCGGGTGTGGCCAGATGATGGTTTTCAGAGTTGATGAAGCGGTTCCAGTTCTTGGGCTGCTGTCGGACACTATGGAAAAAGCACGGCAAGAGCAGGGCCGTGAGTTGAGGGAGAAAGAAAACAAGCAAGCGGTATGCCTCGGGCATGACCAAGAGTCCTGGATACATGAGGGATCAACTCACCTGGCCAAGAGGCTCTCGTAGTGGGGGTCAAGGTTGATTGAATACTTGGTCAAGTACTTGTGCAAGTCATCCGTACCCAGCACCTTGGCAATCTTCACCAGCTGCGCTCGTTTCCCATCACACAACAATACATGAGATGGAGGCGTTGCAAAGGGACGGACGAGGAACGAGAGCACAGCAGCAGCAGCAGGCCCCACCTGGTCATAGTTGTCGTGGCCATGGAAAAAGGGCTCCTTCTTGAAAATCTGTACGTGAGGGCAAATTGCTTATCGTGAGAAGCCATGGGCAAAGGGCAAAGCACCACGCTGTCGCCTCAAGATTGTCTCAAGACGATCATACAGGCATGCTCGCAGGCCACGTACGATGCTGGCCAGCATGCAACCGAACGACCAGAGGTCGAGGGAGTAGTCATACTCCTCGTGGTCCACCAAAAGTTCAGGACCCTTGAAGTAGCGTGAGGCGACGCGAACGTTGTACTCGCGGTTGGGGTGGTAAAACTCGGCCAGGCCCCAATCAATGAGGCGGAGCTCGCGCTTCTCGTGGTCGATCATGACGTTGTGGGGCTTCACATCACGGTGCACAATGCCGCGCGAGTGGCAATAGTCCAGGGCCTTGAGCAGCTCGTAGAGGTAGTATTCAATCTCATCCAGCGTCAAGCGTGGGTACAACACCTTAAAATCAGTGTTGTTGACATACTCAAACACCAAAGCGGGCGTTTTGGACTGTCAAGGGAAGATAAATGAGCATGAGTCAGCATGAATGAGGATTGAAGAGAAGGAAAGAAAGAAGATGGAATGGCAAAACACCGAGGCAGAAACTGAAGGAAAATGGAGAAGATGATCGATGCGACATGATGCCCTTGGGGGAGAAACCTGATCTACGGTCGAGTCTAATCGAGCGTGCACGCCCTCACCTGAGGATCCCGAACAACATCGAGAAGCTGGACAATGTTGATGCCGCCATTGAGGTTTTGCAAAACCTTGATCTCACGTTTAATTTTTTTCTTCTTGACAGGCTATCCAAACACGATACGTATACCATGGCATAAGATCTGCTGTTGCTTGTTGCATCGGAATGAGTGTTGTTCCACAAGACGGACCAACCTTGAGAATCTTGATGACCACACGGGTATTGGTGCGAATGTCAATGCCGGCAAAGACCTCGCTGTACTTGCCACGACCGAGTTTGCAAGTAATCTGGTAGTTGTCTTGCTTGCTGTCAGTTATTCAAGTACGACAAGAGATGCAATCAAAGCAGCACCAAAAAAAAAAAAATAAGTTTGAATCCTGGTTCGCTCGTGGGTATCAATCTGCACCCTGCTTGACTCGTCTTCGCCCCGTGCGGATGAAGGCCACAAATGTGACTCGCAACCAGTCACAGAAGAATGAAAAATCAAGTCAAGAAGAACTGGAAGGTCAGGCCAACGAAAGAAGCGGAGACGAACCCCCACTCAACGACGAGCGACTCGTAGTCCCAGTATTCCTTTGGCTTGTGTGTGTTGACGTCAGTGTAGACGCGCGCCACACTGTTGCTGGGCTCACGGCGACGACGGCCGCGCACAGCCACCGACATGATGCTGATGAAGTATCAAGAGGTAACTTCGAGAATGTGGCGTGGGGCTATTCAAAGCGCCACAACCAATCGACAAGAGCACCGTCACCTGCACCGGGTTTCTGCAACCCCGCTGCTGTTGGTGACCCGCCCCTGCTGGCCTGCACTCCCACGCCCAGCGGAACGAGACCACAAGCAAATCAGAAACCAGGAAAAAAAAAAAAAAAAAAAAAAAAAAAAGAGCGCGCTTGCGATACCCTCCCGCCCCAGCCGCCATCCAGCAGGCACCGAGCGTTTCTGCAGAACATGACATGAACTCACCGGCACTGCCTTCTCGAGCGCTGCCCTTGTCTTCAAGGGAAGAAGCGTTGTCGAGTCCAGGAACGACGACAGCGACAGGAACGACAGCAGCAGCAGCAGCAGCAGAGCAGCAGCAGCAAAAAGAGAGAACGGACGTTGGTTGGTGTCAGAGACTGAGAGAGACGAGCGTGTGGGAGACAAGAGCCAGAGACAGAGAGACAAGCGAGACAAAGCAAGGTGTGGATCAAAGGGCTACACACAAGGCTTTCAGAGAGATGGTGACCGTCATGAGAGAGTCAGAGAGGGTGTGTGAGCGTGAGAAAAGATGACGTCTGTGCGTTTGCAGTAAGAGGGGCAACCGCATGCTGGTGTTGTGTGTGTGTGTGTTTGTGTGTGCTTGTCTTATCTGGTTAGGCAGTTTGCGAAATCTTGTAAAGCTAAAGCATCAAAAATTCTGTTTGTTTGATTTATGGTCCGTCAAAATAAACAAGAGGCGAAGCTGGGGCTTTGCATGCTGACAACGAGCGTCACGGGGCTGCGTCTCGGTAGGGACTGAGCCGAGCGTGCGACAGGGCGCGAAAGGGAAGAGGTGTGTCGTGGCGACGTGTGGCAAGCAGCCAGAGGGCAAGGTATTGAGTTGATCATGGCCCAGGAAGGGCTCGACGTGGAGAAATGATGTGCAAAGTTGGGATCGTTTTTTTCAACGTTCAATTTTCGAAAGGCAGCACGCTCATTTGCCTCAGCTCACGCCAGCATCAAAGCAGACGTGCAACCGAGTACGCCTGGCATTAAGGTGACGCAACTGGCATTGCGATGGAACAAGAACCGGGGCGACGGGTCCCTGCAGCTACTCGAATCAAAGCGCACATGCTAGAGCTAAAAAAAAAAAGGTCGGGTTCTGTGCCCACATGGCCACCATCACCACATCACGACGGTGAAAAGTGGCGCGTAATTTTGGGGACTTCATCTGGTACAAACTCAGTTGGCGGCAGCAGCGCTGCAGCGACGCGTCGGCCCTCCTGGGCCAAAAAATTAAAGGTGGCGCAGGCTCGGCGCTGCAGAAGCAAATGGTGCGCCCGTGGCACATGGACAGCCCCAAGCGTGCGGCGGGGTAGCAGTATCGGATGAGTCAACGTACCCCAGTGATTGAACTGAACCTAACGACAGCCTGTCGGTGGGTGCACGTACCGTGTTTTGCACCTCCACGACGATGCCGGCCTGGCGGAGTGCATCCCGTACCTCGGGTGTGATCAACTCGGTTTTGTCCCCGGTTCCAATCACCAGAATGTCTGATGGCCATGCAGCCCACGGGCGCGTATGCAAGCAACGGTCACATCCACAACAAGATTAGAGACACGTCATCAATACAAAGTGATACAACAATGTGACAAGTGGGCATGCAGCCCATGACGCAGCTGACCCTCCTGCGATGTTGCCCCAACTCAACCATACTGGCAGGTCACGTACCGGGAGCTGGTTGGTAAAGGCGAAAGACGGCCAAGCTATCTGGAGTAACATCGCGCATATCACGCACCTTGATCCGATTGAGCACACCAGGGTGAGGAAGAGCTGACCAAGGTCCAGACCGAGGGGTGGACAGCAGACTACGGGTGGCTTCAAAGACGCCAATGTTCTTTTCTTACCCCCCAAAGGAGATGCACATGAGGCAGCACAATCAAGGGCCCCCGATAATTGTGACCGTTGACAGTAAAGCCCTGCTTGCCAAACCTCTGGATCAAATTGAGTGGGCCTTTATATTCCAGACCGAGGCAACGACATGCGTGAGAACGCCCAGGTGATATATCATCACAGCGCTCGAAAGAAGGTTTATTCTGCCGCATAGGTTACCAGCCATACCTTCAGCGCCCTGCAAGATATTGGCGTCCATGTCCACGCCGAGGCGCGGCGCCGTGTGCAAAGCAGCTGGTCGCGTCGGCCCCCGCCTCAGGCACTGAACCGCTGGCCGCACGGCGGCCCATGTGCGCATTGCTCGCCACATACTGACAAGTCGCACGCGAGGCGCCCCACCGCCTGCCGCTCTGTTCCACAGCTATGTGCTGTAGCCTCAGCCCCGTATATCCGGTAACACTAGAGGCGGTGGCGCGCTGTTGTCACAACCCAAAGACCAAGCACAAGACCTAGTCGCGCCTTGAGCTGGAGCGGAACGGCACAAGAAAAAAAAAAATTCCAAAGGGTCGCAAGAAATGATCGTGAGATGCTGACAAATGACAAATGAATAAGAAAGAAAGAGCATGAGCGTGTGTGTGAGAGAGGGAGAGGATCACGTTAGGCAAGCGAGTGTGTGTGTGGGAGAAAGAGGGAGAGCAGAAGTGTTGAGAAGAGAAGAGATGTGAGATCGGAACCGTCGAGATGGCATGGTGCCAGGGAGAATTTGTGGGTCGATTCGGTTGATGATATAGACTCCTTGGAACACTTTACCCCGGGTCGGTGACGGTGCAGGGGGACATGGAGAGCAAGAAGAAAACGTACAAAACAGCAGGATAAAGGCACAGTAACAAGCAGGTGTAAGAGAGAAGCGCAGATGGAAACTGGAAACGGCAGTCACACAAAGAGGAAAGAAGGGGGGTAGAGGAAAAACAAAAGGGAAAATGAAAACGAAAGGCAAGGCCCGAGAAAAGAAAAGAGCGAGACGATAAACGAACAAGGGACCGCAAAAGCCAGAAAAGGGTCTTCAAAGCCACGCGCCTGGCCAGCCATCCAACTCGAGGAGGGAGGCACTACAAGGCGAACAGAAGTGGGGCAGAAGGTGCGAGAGAGCGCGGTACGGTAGGCTGTGCAGCAAGGGTGGCAATCTATTGCTCGGCCTTGCGGCGGCGACGAGCCGCCACGCCGGTCTCGTTCGCGTGGACGTTGTTGTTGAGTGCAAACTCGGCCGCGACCGTACCAGTCTGCTTGACCGAAGACTTGCCAGCAGCGGCCTTGGCGGCTGCACCACCCTTTTTAAAGTTTTTGTTGTAAAACTGAGTAAAGAGAGCCACCATGGTGATGTGGTAGCCAAACTGCAACCAGGCCAGATATGGTGGATAGATGGTGTCTAAGCCAGAGAAGACGAGGACGACCGCATGCATCAGACAGGAATAAAACTGGCAAATCTGCCAGGTGGTGATGTACTTCTTCAGGGGGTTGTTGATGCCAAAGGAGGTGACAAAATAGTGGGAGTACATGATGACGTGGGTCATCGAGTTGATCATGGCGCCAAAGATGGCCGTGCCGCTGCCGTAACCCAGGTACAGAAGGAGACCCCAGATGGGGCCAATGGTGGCGTGGTGATACACGTGCAAAAAGGAAAACTGAGCGTCCTTCTTGCGGAGAACAATGAAGAGCGTATCAAAAAAGTCCAAGAACTTGGACAGGTAGTGAATCAGCACAAAGTACTCAGCCCGGCGATCAAAGGCCAGGTTCAGACCAAAGACGTTGGGCAGACTGAACAAGCCAAAGACGTTGATCATGTCGGCCTTGAAAAGCTCCTGCACCAGGCCTGAGCAAGCAGATGAGGGTTTGTCCGGGCCCGCGTGCATTTGACGAAAGTCGAGCCCCACGAAGCTTCCGGTGACGAGAGGCGAGCTGTTGGGTGCGTACCGTAGGTCATGTAGCCACACACGGCGACCTGAACCAAGTTGTAGACACGCATGAGGCCCTTGAGATCCATGGGCTTTTGATTGCGCATGGTCTTGTGCAGCAGGAGGGCCGCGATCACGTAGAGGGCACCCGAGGCCACCAAAACGGCGGGCTCGACGAGGGGCCCGTAAACGGCCGCATCGGCCGTCTCCGTCAGCACCATTTGCTTCATGGCGTCTACTTGCGCGGCGTCCATGACTACTGCTCGGCACACATGCAGCAATGCAGCGGCAATGAGGACAACAGCAACCTCCTCGGGCGGTCTCCGATAGCCAAGGTGCAAAAATCACGTGCCCAACCCTTCGCAACAAGGACCCTTTCCTCGCGCGACAACTTGGCTTGACCCGGCTTGGCCTACTCACCGATGCACAGAGGTGCAGATTGAACCCTAAACGCAAGTCGTTCCTTTCAGATGCTCCAAGGGCGCTCAGCTCTACGGGCATCAAAGACGCATAGCTGGGATGAGCCTTGCAGGACTATCATGGTAGGCACGACGTTCAAACGGCAAAGACGGAAAAGGGCAGCCATGCGATCTACGGGCAGCAAGTCCTGCACTGCAGCATAGCGCCTTGTTTCATACACCAACGCAGGCCACATGCACCACACCTTGATTCACACACAGGAGCCAGAAATCGCGCACCCGATGCGACCCGACCCCAGCGCTCTCGACGACGACAGACAAAGTGTGTGTGAGGAGAGAGAGACACAGAGAGAGAGAGAGACAGAGAGAGAGAGAGAGAGAGAGACAGAGAGAGAGAGACACACACACACGCAGGAAGAGAGACAGAGAGAGTGTGTGCATGTGTGTCGAAATCAAAAGCCTGACAAGACAACGGTTAACAGTTGCACAGCTTTAACGGCTCTTGCATTATACATATCCACACACACGATAAACGTGGTCCGCCCCTTCTCTTTTGCTTTTTTGTTTTTTGACGTGTGCTGGCGCGTGTGTGTGTGCGTACATGTAATGTATAACAACAAAAGGGAAAAATGTGTGACAAGTGGTAATCAAGACGAATGGGACAAAGCTTGGAGTCGTTGTCAGCATTATTATGGGTTATTGTCAGCATTTATTGTCAGACGCGCGATGCTGCTCATGAAGACGGTGACGGCGGCGATGCAGCGGCTGCTGCGCGCAGTGATGGTGGTGCTGCTCTTGGCCGGGACGGGTCGGGTGATGATGGGTGGGGAGATCCTGATCGGTGGAGCACAAGCGCTTTCGGAATCGGAAAAGGCCATGGTGCTAAATATATGGCAGGAGGTGTGTCTTGATCAGCATGGCACAATCACGCTCGTGCTACTGCCTGACCGTGGCGTGGCTTGTGTGTGTGTCTGTGTGTGTGTGTGTGTGTGTGTGTGTGTGCGCGCGCTCGCTCTGGTTAGGCCAACAACGCTTTCGCCGTGGGCCAGCTCCAAGATGCTATCAAGGGATTTTCATACCTGAGCGAGATCCTGCCCATGCCTGCCCCCTTTATCAATTTGGCCATCTGCTATGAGAAGCTCGGCCAGGTACCACACCTCAAACTGCTCTGATCGATCCTGCTTCTGCTGCTGCTCCACTCAAGCGTCTCCCTGAACCGATCGCCTGCGTTTGCGGCAGTTTCCTGAAGCCGGCAGCACCTTTGACAGTGCCATGGCCAAGTTCCCGGATAGCCACGAAACACACATGGCAGCCTGCCGCTTCGGCGCCGGGCTACTCAATCGCCAGGTATGCCAGAATATCAACGCACCGCCCACCCACAGGCTTTCTCATACCCCGTTGATGCACCAGTCTGACTCAAAAGCAAACTCCCGACCACGATAGATGCACAACATCTACGATGCAAAGTCGACGCTCGTCGCTTGTGGCACGGCACTGAGGTAAGACTCGCCTCTGCTGCCCCCAAGTCGAGCAGACCACCCAGCCAGAAGTTCCGCCACTCAGCCGCCCTTTGTACCCACCTCAGACTCAAGCCTGACGACGTGGAAAGCATCATCATGTATGGCTCCACCCTCGTCCTCGTAATGGACTTTGCCGAGGTGGGGGCACCATCATCCTCCATCACGTGGCACTCACCCGCGGCTACCGCCACGCCCTCACCTCTGTGCCCCATCATAGGCCGCTCGGGTCTTGAAGCAAGCGCTGCCGCTCGTTCAAAACGATCGGGAGACACAGATCCAGGTTTTGGTAGGCACTAGCTCCACTCTGCTGCCTTTGGCGCGCCATTACCTCATGCATCATCTGGCCACCGATCCACACTCAAGCCCTTTGCCGTTCCTTTTTTTTCTCCTTCGTAGTCCAACCTGGCCTTGGCTTATCTGCGCGGCGGCTTCCAAGCCGAAACCCTGGCCACCGCCCAAAAAATGCAAGAACTCTTTCCTCATGAGCCGCGAACCGATACCACCGTCGCCTCTGCCCGCACGTATGTAATTTGGCGCAATTCACACACATGCTCTCTTGCTTGATCTCGCTCGCTCTCTATGTTGATGCACCGCCGAAAGCTTCAACGCTTATCTTTCACTTTCGTCCGCTCGCCGACTTGACCGACTTGGCTTGCAGTGTCCTCGTTCCCTACGACCAAGAGGTCATTGACATTATGCGGCGCAGTATTCGGCGCGAAGCAGCCACCATTGGCCCCATTGATCCAGCTTGTACAGCCTCTGGCTGGTCCGTGGCGATCAACTGGACCGAAGCCGAGCACATCCCAAGCCTTCGCATTCGCGTAAGGCGTCCCTTTTCTTGTTTCTGCTATCCCACCCTTCCCTTCCGTTCATCTTCTTTTTCTCGCACACTGTGCCTTACTTTCCTCATATTTTTCTACGTTCGTGCCGCGATGTGTGACGCTGTGCCTGCGATTTTCATGCTTGGCAGCCAATCTCTGACCCTAGCAAAGAGCCACTGGTAGACTATGGATCCGTTGACCTGCTGCGCCAAGCTGAGCCAGCCGCTGAACTGGAGATTCGATCCCAGTTCCGCGAGCGCGCTGTGGTGTTTGTAGAGATGCCCGCCGCCTCACTTTGGGGCTTGACAGGCATCTTGGCTCACAGTTGTACCATACTGGCTGCCAGCCTGCAATGGGAACTCGAGGTCACACCATTGTCCCAACTCGAGCCACGGTGCGCCACAACAACCGTCATTGCTCATCACCATCTCAATAAAGAAGAAAAGAGAAAGAAAGCAACACACTTTTGCCGAAAACACGCGACCTTTACTGCTTCTCGATGTGGGCTCGCGACACCAACAGTCACCCTCTTGCATTTGCCGGCGGTTTAGATTCGTGCAAACCGTTACCATCACTGACCCCGTCGTGTCGACGCTGCCGCTCAAGAATTTAAAGAACTATTATCATTGGTTGTGCGAAGGCCTGCCGAGAGCTCTGTGGGCTTGGCACCATACGTTGCAGGAAAACCCCGCCGCCAAACTCCTTGTCCCGACGCTGCAACCCTTTATGCAACAGAGTCTTGAGGTTTGCATGCCAGGTTCTTGCTTTGTTGACACAGACATGCAGGCCTTTGTGCAGCTGCTCAGTGGTCCCCCGATGCCTTGTTTCCTTAGCTTGTTGGCATTCCCTTGTCACGAGTGCTCCAGTTTAGCCCTCAGAATCATAACGTGCACTACCAATTTGTCAATTCCTTCAGCTTTCTTGATTGGTCTCCACGTCAAGGTGCTACGCATGCTACCTGCCACGCTCTGCTCTGCTTGCGGCAGGGCCTCTATGGCATCTCGCTCATCCCGGGGTAAACCGCCGTGCCTCTTCAGATGAACCTTTTGGCTCTCTACTCGAAGATGCCTGGTCCCCCTACTCGCCACCTCGCTGGCTTTTGCGTCAGCTGCGTGATACTCTACTCCAGCGCATTGGCCCCAGCTCTGCCTCGCCCATTGTGGTTTACGTCTCTCGAAGTGCCTCAAAGGCCGTGCGGTCCGTTTTGAATGAAGATGATGTCATTGGTCAGTGCCGTGATGCCCCAAGGCTGCTCAAGCGCTTTGCTCTGCTGAATACGCTGCCCTCGAATGTGTTAATCCGCCATTGCCCACCTACAATAGCTACGTTGGAGGCAACGGTATCTGCTCTTGGACAACGGCTGATTGTACATCGTGGAACCGAGTCGCTCCGCGAGCAACTGGCCCTGTTTGCTCAGGCCCGGGTCGTTGTAGCTGCTCATGGTGCCGGTGTCTCCAATACCATTGTTTGTGGCTCCGGCACTCAAGTCGTGTTGCTGCCCATGTGGCCAATGGTCGATCACACCTTTGTTCACTTGGCCGCGGCCCTGGACCATGAGATCATCCTGGCGCCCTCGGTGCGCTCATACTATTATGGAAACTTTGGTAGCCTTACCTCGACCCAGCTCGAAGAGCTGGCTTCGGCGACCCGCCAAGCCATTCAAGCAGCCGACTGGGCCCCGACCGTTCGTCGTCATCCGGATGAGCTTTAAATGCCATGAAACACGATTGACATGGCTTTATACCTTGTTGTTCAATGCCAAATGCACTACGACCACCACAAGGACGCTGTTATTTTTGTCAGCTTGCATTTCACCGCCAGTGTGTGAGCATGCAGTTGAGCAGTAGGATAAGTCTCTATTTCATTGTTTTCGAATTGAAAGTGCATCCTCGCACAACTTGGGCTTGCCGAAACCTACAGTTGTTAAAATGTTTGATTTGGAGCCGACATCAGCAAGATGATGTGCTTGTGGAACATGTTCTTGCACTGTGAACCACTGTGACAGTTGCTCGATTACACAAAGAAAGCCAGGCGTGGCACAAGATGTTTGGATCAAACAGTACAACACTCGACACCACGGTACCCATCTGGATGGCCAGGTATAAAGTGCCCTGCACCCAACGCACAGGTGGGGTGCAACGGGAAAAGGGTGGCATAGAGGAAATGGCATGCTGCCCACAACACACACAGATGTGTGCGCTTAGGAAGAGCAAAAACAACACTAGCACAAACATATGATAGCTTCGGTCATTTAGCTGTAATTGTTGAGCTCGTTACACAACGCTAAGCGTCGCAGGTTGGCCAGGCAACATGCTGACACCTCAGCGACATCGTTGCTTTTTGAGCCAACCAGATCTACGTCATTTGTGACCCAACAGGCATGCTCTGAGTGAGGCGCTGCCATTGTTTTTCGGCCCGAGCGGGGTTGACATTCACAAGAACGCCATTGCCAGGGACTCACCGAGCAGGTGCGGAACAACGTTTGCGTTGTGCATGACGATGCAATTTTCGGCATCCTTGCTGAGCTCATGCAAAGCGCGTGCCGTTTGGCCACGCACACCATCATTCTGCCATTGCAATTGGGATGAGGAGGAAGGATGAGAAAGGAAAAAAAAAGTTTAAAAATCCCTGATGCAACCATTCAGACTTGACCAGATGAGACCTGGGACCACCGGAGAAGCAGCAACAAGAACACACGCACCTTGGATCGTAGAAACTTGGCCAAGGGGGCCACGGCGCCGTACTCGCCAAAACTGATGCGGTTGTTTCCAAAGCTGCAGCAGTTGGCAATGGCTGCTGCCAGGTGCTCGCGGAGCAGATCTTCCTTGGTGTCCACCAAATCGCAGAGAAGCGGCACAACCGCGTGATCCGTAATGACGGCCAAGTTCTCCTCATCCTTGGCAATCTGTGCAACGGCTGCACAGACCGCAGCAACGACTTCAAGGTGCTCTGACTTGAGCAGACCAACGACCAGCTCAACACCGCCGACAAAGGAGCGAACGAGCGCTCCGGCATCCCGAGCATTTTCAATGCACGGACCAATGGCCCAAGCCGCCGATGCAACAACATTAATGTTCTCTGACTTGAGCAGTGACCAGAGAAGGCGCACGCCATCCAGCTTGTCAATAACGTCCATGTTTTCCTTGGAGGCAGCAGCCGCGCCCACAGCGCGCGTGGCATTAATTAACAGCTCGTAGTTGGTGCTGGTCAGTAATTTGACCAAGGGCTCAATGCCGCCCGTGGTGCGGATACTTTTGCACGAGTCAGGGTTGACGGCCAGTGCCGCCAGCGCCCCTGCCACATTGGTAAGGACCACCTCATCGCCGTTCTTGAGAAGGCCCACCAAAGCATCCACCGCCTTGAGCTCGGAGAAGCGCTTGACATTTTGTGGATCGGCCGCGCATTTCCAGATGGCGCCCGACGCACCCTCCAGCAAGTGCTGGTCGGAGCTACCCTGCAACAGGGCCACCAACGGGGCGAGGCCATCGCACTCGCGCACCAGCGCTTGAGTGGCAGCGTCCTCTGCACACTTGAAAATGGTCATGGCACTGTGCGCCTGCAGACTGCCATTCTGTTTGCGTAGATTCTCCACCAGGAAGGGGATAAGGCGGTACTTGCGAATGAGGTTGCGATAGGTGGGATGGCTGGCACATTCCTGCAGCACACCAACAACGGGAACGAGCAGCTCCACGTTGTCCGATTGAAGCAGTTGCGCCAATAGATCAACGGCGCCTGCACTCAGAATGTGTTCTTTGTTCTTGCTCGACTTGGAGCACATCCACAGCATTTGCGCGCCGGCGCGCGCAACATCGTGCTTGTCTTGTTCCAAGCCCTGGCGCAGCAGAGCAACTCCGCGACCAATACCGCCGTAGAAGCGCACCATGCGGCGATTGCGAGGGTTTTCGGCGCAGTTGGCCAAGGTCAAGGCTGCATTGACTTTGATCTCGTCATTTTCGTCATCCAGAAGTTGCACAAGCGGGCGCACCCCGTTCATGTTGGCCACGTCGCGCTTCACAAAGTAGTCGCGCGAGGCATCCTTCAAGATCTCAAGGGCACCAATGCGGCACTTGACATCCTCGGTATCCAAGAGGTTCACCAAAACGTCGAGGCCATCACCGTGGCGCAGGGCATACTGGCACTCTGGGCTGGCGGGGTTCATGTCTCGCAGCAAGCAAAGTGAAATCAAGGTTGCAGTTTCGTTACCGCCCGCCAAATACTTGACTGCAAAATATGCACGCCCAAGCAGGCATGTTAAAACCGTGAGGGCAGAAGCGCGGCTTGCAGAGGCAAAGGAAAACGCGAGCTACGCACCCAACTTTTGGACGGCCCAGTACTCGGAAGGAAGCTCCTGGTCTTTGAGAGGGCGCTCATCAAGCTCGACCTCGTCAAGATCATCCTCGCTCTCTGAAAACTCTTCGACAGGGCGTATCGGCTATCAAGCAGAAAGAAGGGTGAGCGCGGCCATCAGATACTTGACAGGCCCCATGGAGCGCACAATGAATAGGTCAGACACAGCAGCACAACGCGGTGGCAAAGGGCTTTGACTTGATGGCTAGTCATGACGCTGAGAATTTACGTTGAAAAAGATCAGGTGGGAGTAAGGCCTTACCTCAAGCGTGCGGCGGGGAAGCATCGCCGAGACAGTGCGAGATGCGTGCGCTTGCAAGGTGGAGCTGGCGTTGCGGCTAATGCCCTTGTTGCGTTTGCCAGCGGCTGAGCGTTTGTCTGTGGCACTAGCATGGCTGGAGTGGCGCACAAAGCTGGAACGGCTGGTCAACATGCCATCGGCCGGCGCTGCAATGGTCAAGCCCAGATTGGCCCAGCGAGGGGAAGGCTGCAGCACACGACGGCGCTGGGCGCCCTTGGCTGCGGCAGAGGGACCACCCCGCTTGGTGTTGCTTAGCGAGCTGGTATCGGGAATCAAGGCTGCCACAGTAGCCCGCCGCGTTTGTTGCTGCGCATTGCAAAAAAAAAAGGAGGGGGCCAAACGAAATGCAAACACGGGCCGCAAAATAAGTTGCTGTCAAGTCTGCACTACTACAATGGATTGCCTCGATGTAGTGGGTTGCGTACCTTGGAAGGCTGATTCTCAATGGTATCGGCAAAATGGGGCGACACGCCCTTGAGAAGGGCTGTAAGAGATGTATAGGTTTGACCGATACGTGCATCCTCTTCCGAGCTTTTAGCTCGCCAAAACCCTTCCTTGTTCACGACGATGAAGCAACCCTCTGCATCACGAGGCTTGCAGATGATATAGCCTAGATCGCCGTGCTCACGACGCCATGGCGGAGCACGAACGCCGTTGGAGAAGGTGTAGGCGTTTTCCCAGTCAATGCTGTCCAAGCAATCCTCGTCCTCGGGACCAGCATAACTCTTGAGCGTCTCCAGCTCTGCTTCAGCCGCAGACATGGTCACCTTGTCGTCGGGGACGCTGGGCTGCTGTGGTAACGCGTCGTCGACAAACGACAGCAGGTGAAATAACGCTGGCGTGCAACTCGACAAAAGGTGAGGGCGGGCGCGGCTCGTACCGTGGCGCCATTGGCCTGTTGCAGCTTGACATCAGCCACATGCAGTACATGCACCAGGTTGATAAAGGTCTCGTCCTCCTAGAAAAGATCAAGGCGGGACGGATGGTCAGACGGTGATACGCCAGCATGAGCTCTTCCTTAAGCAAGTTGGACGTACGTCTTCAGGTTCCGTCACCGCTTTGAGATTGGCCCCGTTGCCATATGCTGAGCCCAGGATGTTGGCAGCAGGGTCCGGATTGGCTGCATTGGTGCACAACCGGCATGAGGTTGCATGGGAAATAAGATGCATTGACGCATCCCCTGTCATGGCAAGGCTGAAGAAATACTGGCAAGACGATGACGCACCGGCAATGACTTGACGCAACTCCTCGACTTGGTCGGCTCCAGCCACGGCTAGAATTTGCAGAAGAGAGCGAAGGGTGTCCACAGAGACCACGCCCTCGACCTTTTCGACCTGCAGAGTCATCAAACGTGAGCGCCAGCTCATGGGACAAACGGGTCGTTCTGGGGCTGTGCAAGAAGAGGGGGCCCCACCCACCGTCTCAGGGAGCTTGTCTTCGCTGAGCTGAGTCGTCCACTTCAAGGGAGTCTTGAAGCTGATCTGTAGTCACATGTGTGCGTGTTCGTGTCAGTGCAAGCGGCAGATTCCGCAACCAAATGCGCGGTTGTTGACTTGGCGTGTTGCGCGTATCGAGCTTCTGACCTGAGCTTCCGTAGCATTATCCGCCACCAAGACTTCAAGCTCTTTGGCAATCTGGCTGAGAAGACGGTCAACAGCCGGGGTAGGCTTGAGCGCCTGACCGGCCAACTGAGAATGAATCACGCCCATCGTGTTCCCAGCTCAAACTGGGAGATAGGAGACAAAGAGCCAGCGTGAGATATCAAACGATAGCAAAGGCCAGGCTGAGGTACGGCTGCCCGGGCCACCCTATCGCTGGACTTGATGTTTGCAACAGGGATGTGTGACCGCAACGCCTTGCAATCCTGCCTCAAGCCCAGACGTCCTCTTCCTTGATCCGGTTCGGCAGACGATTCACTCACAAAGAGCATCAGGGACGAGCAGTGATGGTGGACTCCAATAACGCAGTCACAACGACGCGAGTGAACGTGATCTGTTCAATGCACGCTCTCCGCCACCAAAACTACCCACGGCCTCGTCCCGCTCAAGTCCGATTTGACCGCGGAGGAGCGTGTAGCGATTTGCGACCAGACGACACGATGCGCGCTGCACACAGGCGAGAAAAGTTGGTCGCTAGCGTTCTTCGCCGTCGCCAAGGCCAATGTAAAACTGAATAACTTTTCGCTTTGAAAATACCAATAACACAATACAGATATTTGATAAGCAAACCTTGTTTTGTCGACAATAAATTTCCATCTGACAAATCTGACAAATCATGTACCTCTCTATTCTAATCTCAATGTTCTCGGCTTTCAACTTTTGCGTCGCGCGTTTGTGTGTAACGGTTTTCAGTGCGTGACCAGCAGCAAACGCGCAGCAGGGCGGCGGCGGCGGCGGCGGCGGTGGCCGTGCTTGTGCCGATACGATGAGTGCGCGGCGTGCAAGCCGTACAAGTGACAAGACCAATGATGTTCGGTAAGCCTGGCTGGTGGATCACTGACTGATGTGCTGTACCTGTATCTCGATCGAATGCACACAGCAAGAGTGGCTGAGCTCGTGGGATCCGACCCGAGCTGAGGGGTCCAGGGCACCTCTTCACGGATCCGAGCTGCTGTTATGTTAGGCTGACCGTCAACAATTTGGTCTGGTGCAAGCTGAAAAAGATTCCACATTGGCCCTGCATTGTGGTGCGTGATGATTGCTCTCCGATGTAGCGCGGCGTGTCGTTTGACAAAGAAAGCCTCAAATACTCTGCGTCCGCCCTGCCGTGTAGACCAGCGACAAAGAAGGGCCGCAGCGCTTTGAAGTGACGTTTTTAAATGACAAGGGGGCCATGTATGTACCGTGATTGCGGGCAACTCGTTCATATGTGTTTCTTCTCGCGCGCGAGTCTGTGTGTCTTGCTTGACACGCATCGCATCTCCACGTCCTCCGCCGCTGTAGCGAGGATGTGCGGGTCAAGGATCTCTTTTACTGGATGGATGAACGACGCGAGGCCTGGGAGAAAGCTGGCCGGCAAAAGCACACTATGCCCAATTTTCCCGGTGCTGTTGAGGAGGTTTGTATGCGACCACCAGTCGGCTTGCCCGTGGTTCACTGCGCCAGCATTCGCACCTGGCCATGGCCTTGACTTGCTGCCCCTCCGCCGATAACAGGCTCAGAAACACTTGAAGCAATATCCCAAGATTGCGCTGGACTACTATCTAGGCGTAGGTGGACCATCACTTTCCTTGCATGCACGCACACCCTCACACACACGCACACACCGCACCGCCTCAGTCGATGGCCCATGCCTGTGAGCCTGTTGATGAACCTCACATGTGGGGCGACGATGTAGGCGGACAAGGGATCGCCCCCTCAGTCAAAGGCCAAGAAGCCTGCACGCCGCTCTTCTACACAGGATCCAGCACCCATGCGACGCAGTCGCTCCACGCCTCGATCTGGTTCGGGCTCGGCACAGACCAACGAAACAGAGCCACGCCGCCAGTCACATTCTCGCTCAGGTAGCTCGCCGGCTTCTGAAGCCGTCAAGGACAAGAACAGCCATCAAAGAGGGCAGACATCAACCCCTGCTCTGGATCGCAAGCACAGCAGCAGTCGGGCGACGTCAGCCGGCTCCGGATTGCGCCGGCGATCGTCAACCCGACTGCAAGACAGAAACGGCAACAGCGACAGTGACAGTGATAGTGACGGTGACCTACCTGACGTTTTGACAACGGCTAGCAACTCCAAAGGATTTCCCAAGGGCAGCATCGTCTGGGCCAGCTTGAACGGCCGCACCAACTTCTGGCCTGCCAAGGTATGCATGCCTTTTGGCCTCACATCCTTGCGCAGACGCCTTGAACGCCCAGTCACATCTCCAACATCTGGCGCCCGCATTAGGTGAAGGAGGACAGCACATCAAACCGGGCGATGGTCCGCTTCTACAACTATAAAAAGGGTACACAGGCGTGAGTGACCACGCGTATGCTATCAGCAGGAGGTTGACGCGACTTGGGCAAAACCTAACAACATCACGTGATGCCACGCAGGCAACTCTGTTACTGCCGGGCTTGGGACAAATACCCCAAGGGTGCGCTTTGGCCGGACATGGAAATTTACTCTCAGATGTTTCTGCGCGTGCGCCTGTGCTCAATCTAGTGCTACGTTCCTCATAGACTGCAAGAGCGAGAAAATTCGCAAAGCCATCGAATTGGCAACAGTGGCTCTTCGAGCCCGGCAGCGGCGAGAAAAAGCCGAGGATGACATGGATCGACTTTTGAATCGAAAAGGGGATGTTTTGAGCAGCTCGTCTGAGGCATCCGAGTCAGAGGCCACTAGCATGCCCCCCCAAAAGCGATCGAAGCGCCCAAGCACCACAGCACCCCATCAACAAGGTAGCCAAAGGCGGGCACTTTCATGATTATGACCTTCTTTTTTTTGGCTCCTTGTTTGACCTACTGCGACGTCAGCATTGCACCGCAACTCATGGTTGTTCTCGGGGGTGTTTTAGATGGCCGGCGAGCACACCGTGTGCGAGCCCGCTCCCGGGTGGTGGAGACGGATACCCAGGTGGCCACTGTGAGCGCCGTCATCAAGCGTCATGTCAGAGGCAAGGTTCGTTGCGGAAGGTCTTTGGTGGCACATTGGCATGTTGATGCATGCTCGTGTCTCCCTCTTGTCGTGTTGTCCAAGCACGAACTTTCCTGAGCAACGCTCCAATTCCTTGCCTCTGATATCGTTGTGCTCGCTGATTGGCCCCGCGCTCCTTTTCGTTTGAATCGAAGGTGTCGTGGTCGCCCGAGTTTGAGGACGGCGACAGTGAGGAGGAGACGACAGAGGCAGATATGCCCGGCAGGATGTCAATCGATCCTCAGTCACTTTCTGCGGCCGACCAAGAATGTTTTCAACGACTTGAGTGTGTCCCTCTCCGTGATGACTGCACAATGTGTTTTTGGTTGTTGTTGTTGTTGGTATGGGAGCAGGGCTCATACCTGTCTCTCTCATCGTGTTGCCCCCATCCCTCTTGAACATCTGTAAACAGCTCATTCCTGGAGCAATTTGAGGAGCTATTGCCACGGTGCCAGCCCCACGTGCTGGATTTATGCGCTCGGAGGGTATCTGATAGTCCCCTTCTCAACATGTTTGACAACTGGAAGGAATCGTCAGCGGTACAGTCTGCGCGGCCTGATTCCCTTGCTGAGAGCATGGGCTTCTATAGTTGACATGTCTCTCGTTGACCTTACTGCTGCAGAAGCTGGAGCAAAGCCTGGCCCAGCACATGAGCTATGGCCCTCTTGCCACGGGCTATAAGAATGTCGACGAGTTGGTAAGACATGGCTTGTCACCTACATTATTTTTCTTCGTGATGCCTCCGTTTTCGCCTTGACCATCACGGGGAGTTGAGGTCCAGCCCCCTCTCATCGGATGGTCTGGATGGCTCGCTACGCAGCGAAAAATGGCGTCTGAACAAGTTTCGTCTTGGGTCGACGGGGCTCCATCTGGATGCCCAACTCAGCCACACAGGCGCCGCATCTTTTGTGACCTCGTTTGTCTTCCCGAGGCCATCATCCAAGCCGCTGCGCTGCATGACAACGTGCCTTTGAGTGAGGTGCGCCCTGCTTGCATTGCCTTGTTCCTTGCCAAAGATGATGAGCGCCCCGAACGGTCTCGCCCATGTGTGCTGGCGATTTCTGATGCGGTTGCCGGCATCAGGCTCGGGAGCAGGTGCTCGCGGGTCGGCGATGGCAACCAGAAGTGCTGCGAATGCGGATTTATGCGCAGCTCGGGCCCGATAGAGAAGAGCTTGCTGACGCGAGCGAGGATGCCAGCGAGGGCGAAGGCATGAGTGAAGGTGAGAATGCAGAGTAGCTCCCAGAAGACAAACCCCTCAACGGTCGCTGCTGTGTGCGGTCTCAAGTGATAAAAGAATAATGATATGCTGGCCAGTCCTTCTGATTGATTGACATGCAAGATGAATCACAAAAGGCAACGATCCTAATTGGCACACCCATGGCGGCCCCACCGCTGCCTTATGGCCATCTAGGGAGCACACACACCACAACACACACACAAATGGGAAGAAAAAAAAACCCCCCTCCCCCAATACGACGGTGACTGTCACACACATAGATAGACGTGAGTGTCAGCTGTTTTTGGTTGTTGTTGTTGTTGTTGGTTTTGGATCCACATCAGCATCTCTTCTTGCATTTGGGGTGGCGAGCATCGAGCTGCAGCTTGACCCACTTTGCTGCCCTCACTCGGAGACAGGAACGACCGGCTGCCATGGCACAGGTGGACGAACCGCCCAAGCGCTATCACATTTTCATCAGCTACCGGGTGCAGGCATTGGCGGAGCTGGCCGAACGGCTGTGCGACAAGGTGCGCATGCTTTTGATGCTCGTCGCTCGTCGCGCCATGTCAACATAACCGCTTTGTCTGGCACCGTCACCACCCCAACAGCTGCAGCAACTGGACATTGACAACGAGCATGGCTTGCGTATCCGATGCTTTTTGGACAAGCAAAATCTGAATCATGGCGCCAGTTGGCGGCAACAATGCACCGACGCCGTGCGCGAATCCTGCCTCTTTGTCCCGCTATACAGCGAGGCCACGCTGGCCAAGTACTTGGACACGGAGGAGGATCAGTCAGATGATACCTTTCTGTACGAGCAAGCCTTGGCGCTCGAGCTTCGTCGCCAGGGCGAGATTGTCTTCATGCCTCTGATGGTCGGCACGGTGGATGATCAAGAGCGCTATACCAAGTTTTCGGGATTTGGGCGCCGCTTCAGTTCGGCCCTCGGCCCCAGTCTAGAGAGTGGCCAGACCCTGCCCATTAAAACGCTGTTCAAGCAAGCCTTTCAGGCTCAAGGCATCTTTGTCAACCCGCTGGAGCTGGGCGAGAAGGTGGTGCAGTTGGCAGACGATCTCTCCCGCCGGGTCTGGCCCAAGTTTCGTAACCGATGGCACGACCCTGCCGTGCTGCAACCCGAGGCCCCAGTCAAATGCGTTCAATGCGAGGAACTGTATATGCCGTCGCAAAATACCCGGGGCTCTTGCCGATACCACCAATACCCAGACTGGGGCAGTGTTCGTGCCTGCTGTGGCTCGACCACCGACCCTTGGCGAAAAAAGTCCCAGCTCGGCTGTCAGGTGGGCCCCCACCAGTCGCGGCACCACAACGAATATCCCTATGAGAGCAAGGTTATTCTGAGCCAAGCTTTCTGGAATGATGTGGGCAACCGCAAACGCATGCTCGTCTTGGAAAGCAGCGACTATGAAACGCCTGCTTTGAGTGTCCATGCCAAGCTGGCGTCGGCCACCACTCAAACCCGCATGACGGCCTTCAAGGGCCACTTGTGCCTCTGGCTCGGTTATGCACTGCGTGACTACGTGGCCTTTATCGGGCCTCCTGAGCTGAATCATGCCGAGCAGACGTTGTCCAATGATAGTGGCAACACCCTCATTCATCGCTTTGAGCGTGAGAACGGTGCGTTTGTGCCAGGCCCCTCAAGACGCTTGTTTTACATGCCATGTACATCCGGATGTAAATTTTTTATTCTTGTGCCCTCATCTGCGACACTGACAGCTCACTCACTCTGAAACACAACTTTTTGGTCTGATTTATCCGTTGTGGTGGGGGACACAGGCGCCTATGCAGAGGCCCACTGGGTCATGGAGGAAGGTCGCGTGGTTGGCATGCGCCTGGTGGCCAAATCAGCAACGTGCGAGGAATCATCAGGCATTGTCCTCTTCGACTGGGATGGTGAGCACGCCAAGCCCACCCCAACCCTCGTTTTTTCTTGCTTGGGTGTTTGTCTGACTCACATCTGTTGTGGGTTGTGGACGAGCAGGTAAAGACGAGATTAAGGTGCGGGAGATCAAGGATGTCAAGGATGGGCAACTTGCCGAGTATGATCCCATCGACGATGTTCCTTTGAGTTGCCAGCCCGAGGTAGGCCTATGCTGGGAAAGTGTCTGAAGCTCACGTGCTGGTCATGCGTCAACTATTCACGTGTGGGGCGCCGATACCGCTGGTCAAAGCTGTGCTTTTGCTTGACACAAACCCACGACCTCACTTGATGTATTCTGCTTTCTTCTTCGTGCTGCCTAGGCACTGTTGTCGGGTGGTTTTTGGCGGCAGATGCTACCAGGACCGGGCCGCGGGGATTTGCAACCCGGGCTTAGTCCCTGTCTCACGCTCATGACGAGCGGGGAGATGGAGGCCAACCCTGTCAATATTATTAATGCTGACGTGGAGTGCTTCAACTGGACGGTGAGCGTGATTAACAAGAGCAGCGAAGACAACATTTTGCTCAGCGTCAAGACGGAATTCGCTGTGCCCGGTGGCGAAATGCAAGCATGTCAGTTGCAAGGCGATATTCTGACAGCGCTGCCCATCAACTTGGGTAGCCGTCAGGCCACACGCGTGACATGTCGACTGATCGTGCCCGTTCCCGTGCAGCGCGGCTCTGCCATGTGGAATCGATCGGGGCTGGCTCGGCTACACCCTGTGCTCTTCAAGCTGGCCGTGACGGACATGCACGGCGAGACGGCAACGTTGCTGCACGAATTTCGAAACCAGGTGGCCTGTCTACCCGAGCCCCGCGAGAACAGCAACGAACTCCTGCGGCTCCCTATCGACTCGGGTAGCTGCCTGGATCGGTCCTTCCTGACCATGTCGGTGGAGGGTGAGGACAAACTCTGCATCCACGGGCTATCCTCGCGCCTGGAGATGACTCGGGAAGTTCAGCGTTGCCTGGTGTACAAAGCCATCCGTGACAAGACTGATTACTTCAACATCGACATGAAACTTCACGCGGATGTGCCACATCAACTGGGTATCTGGGTCGATCGGTCGCTGCGTCGCTGCGTTGCTCTAACGCTTGAGCTCCAGGGCGAGCTGGCCACCGTGCGGGCGATTGTTCCGATGCCGTTTATGGCACGAAGCGTGCACGAAGCGCTAGACCCTGCTGCTCCAGTATCAAAGGCGTCCCGCCAGCTAACTTCCCTCACTCTACAGCAGAGTTTTGCCGACTGGGCGGTCCGCCCCGGTGCAGACGAGCCCGAGTGGTTTAGCGTGGAAAAGGTTCTACAACATCAGCCATTTGTAGCTCCTGACTGGCAGGCGTACCTGCCCCTTGCGCAGCGTGTGGGCTTGACTGAGTCCCAAAACGACGCCCCAGTGGGACGGGAGCGCACCGAGACCATGCCAAACGTGGCAACCCTACTACGCACGCTCCTGGCACGCATGGATGCGCTCGACGCCAAAGTTGACCGCGTCGAAAGCCTCCTCCTACGCCAGGCGCACCAATGAGCATTATCACGGGACAGGGAAGCAGCAGCAGGGACATGCTGACAATTCATCCAGAAAACCACCGATTTTCAATATTCGAGGTGTATTTGTTAGATATCCACATTGCAATCTTATCGTAATCACCCTGATGGAAGAAGTAGAAAATCAGGCAGATCATGCAGCAAGGCCTGAACCACTAAAGGTTAACCTCAAGCTTCATCCCCCAAAGGTACATGAAGCGAATCATGGAGAAGATGAAGATGAAGACAGAGAGAGAGAAAGGATACAAAGTATCACGCGGTCTCTCTCTCTCTCAGTTTTCTCTCTCTCTTCGTTCTCTCTCTCTCTCTTGGCTGACACGCGCTCGCTCGGACGGAACTTGGTCGACGGAGCCGACAGCTTTGACGAGACGGTGCAAGCGGCCAATAGAATTTCATCCAGTCAGGGTGTGGATTCACAGCACGGCCTGCTTTCACTCCTCCTTTGAACTGGTCTCAAGCACTTGAGGAGGTTCGACAACCCGGCCTCGACGAGACAGCGCACGCGGTGCAGCGCGAGTCGAAGCGTTCTTATGCTGCTGCCCGTGTTCCATAGATTATCCAACCTTGGATCCTGTCATCTTGACCTCCAACCCCCTTGGTATTCCAATCCCATCATCATGTCTCTTGGACGCATTCTTGCTGGTTTCGTGGTCGGTGGCGTGCAGGTGTTTGCGCGTGCCTTTCAGCAGGCCTATCGGGAGGCAGCCGCTGGTGTGTGCCATGCTCCCCGTGTAGTCGTACACCCCCGCAGCATTCCAGTCAAACTTGGCATTCAGGCTTACGCATGACCACACATCAATTCTCCCGGCTTCGCTGAGAAGACGCACCCATGCGCGTTGGTTCATCCTTGCTCTTTGACCATTTTTAGGTGGTGGCAAGCAGGCAGCCGGTGCCGCCAATGCAGCAAAGAACGCCGCCGGCCGCAGCGTACGGACGGGCATGAGCATTGATGTATGTCCAAGTACCATTTGCTTGATCTTCAGTTCATCGGTCGCCTGAAAGGGGAACGCTGTCCCGGGTTTCCCTGCATGTGGCGTTGTGTGCTAGTGTCACTTGTCTGTTTTATGCGCGCAAAACGTGCCAAGCTTTAATCTTCTTCTCAGTTGTGAAGGAAGGGATCCTAATGCCTCAAGCTTCTCACTTGCTCCGTGCATGGCGATATGACGATATCGGCAAACACAGGAGGCGCAAAAAATCTTGAACATCGAGTCGACCGCAACACTCGAAGAAATTAACCAGGTACCCACCCCCGCCCTGACACCGTTGTGTGCAGCCGCCATACTTCATCGGTGGCAAACTCATTCTTGTGCGCCTCTTGAGTCAGAAATATGACCAGCTCTTCCAGCTGAATGACAAGAAGAAGGGCGGCAGCTTTTATTTGCAATCCAAGGTTTGAATTTACTTGACTGGCGTATAGCATGACTTGAAGCTTGCGCCTTTTTTTTTGGCAGGGGTGGCTTTTGTGGTTGCAATCATTCACCCGCTGTACCCAACTCACCTGATCTGGGTGTGTAGATCTATCGCGCACGCGAAACTTTGGAACAAGAATGGCCGGAAAAGTTTGCAGAGGCCAAGACCTCGGATGCTAAATCCAGCGAGAGCGCTAGCTCGGAAACGCCCAAGGCGTCGGATAAGGACGAAAGCAAGGCTTAAACCCATGCCCATCTTCAGTACGCTGGTCAATCGGCGGAAACTTGAGTAACATCAAGCGTTGGTTTGTTCCTTTCCTTTTTCTTTGACTTTCCATTCTTCCTGTTTTCTTGGGTGGTCATGGGTGAGCTTGCACCTGGACCCCTCCTAGCACACACCTCACAGTCTAGACCGAATGGGCCATGGATCTGGCGCAACCAATTCATGGTCTGCTCATAGAGCTCCTACAAAATGATTTGTGCATCTCTTTGGGTCTGTTCTGGGAGGGCAATTGCAGACAGAAAGGAAGAAAATTCCCGATGGCCGCCTTTCTAGACCGATTTGAGGGACCGCGGCTTCACGTGTGATGCGCGGCATTTGCTTGGGCATGGATGTCTGCGTCCAGTGACTGAGAAATGAATAAATTGACGCTCGAGCAGGAGCATGCAGTTTTCTTTTGAATCAGGACTATCCTTTGGTGGGACGAGGGAGTGTTGGCCGCCAGCGGTTCAAATCCGGCGCCAGCGGAAGAAGAGGAAGGCACCAGCGGCCAGCATGAGCGTGTTGTGGAGGACACGACGCACGCTATCGTCGCGTCGCACGAGGACGGTAAAATCGTCGAGATGGGCCGGCAGCTGCACGCTAGTCAGCTCGGGCGCATCAGGGCGCTTCAGCACCTGGTAGGCAGCCATGGGATCATCTTGCCAGCCGAGGTCGTAGCTGATACCACAAAGCAACCCAAGACCACCCAGTGGCAAGAGAACGGTCTTGAGCGGCGCATGCATGGCACCGCCTACCAAGCAGCCCAGGCTAGCAAGGACCGCTGTCTTGTGCATCAAATTGCCCACTTGAATAGAGCTGATCACCAAACAAAACACGCCAGATGAGCCCGAGACAGCACACCGCGCGACTCTGGCACGAGATGATCCCACACAGTCAGCAACACCACACCTGGCCACACGACCGCTCAGCTGATTGTCCTCAATCACAATGACGCTGACCTGGCGATTGACAACAACAAACATTTGAGGTTGGCCAGGACGCGAACATCCGGCATTTGGACTCTTGGGAGTCAACTGCTGCAGACGTGTTCGCGCCAGTTGAACACCTGCATGGGGTGCATAGGGCTAACGTACCTTGGAGGCCATGAAGCGCTCTAGTGCTGCATCCTGCAACTCGTCGCGAGGCACGACGCCATAGTTTTCTGCAGATGACAAATCAACGCAGGGTGCCCAGCAGCTTGGTCAGAGAGTCCATAGCACAAGACAGTGCATCGGGAACGCAGGGACCAACCCAGACGTACCTTCTGCCATGTTGTGACCAACTTCAAGAGCAAAGCCCGTCTACCACCCACCAATGCCCAGCCCCGCCCCGCCCCGCCCAAAACAGTCACTTGCACACTGGCCTTGACCCGCGACGAGCCACGAGCAACGAGCAACGAGCCACGAGCCACGAGCCACGAGCCACGAGCGCAAAGAGTGTGCGCGGCGAACGTGAAAAAAAGGCATCAAACGAGCAGAGCGAGAGAGAGACGAAGGAAGTTGCTTGAAATTTTCACCCGAGTGTGGAAGATCAACGAAGGCAGTGACCATCAAAGTTGAATCCATTTGTATGCGAACTCAGTGATGATATCGTCACTTGGCTCAAAAGCAATAAAAGAAATCGAGCAAGAGCGAGAGAGAGAGAGAGAGAGAGAGAGAAAACAAACGGCATTGAGCGGTCAGCTCGTGCTTATGGGTGCTGGTGCAGCTCAAGCTCAGCGTCAAAGCAAAGGGATCGAGCACCTTGCGACGGCGGCGGCGGCGGCGGGAGGGGGACCGGCTGGACTTTGAAACGGGGCATCTGGTTGGATTTCATCGAGTACAGCACACTTCTTGTCCAACGCACCACGCGACTGGTTCTTGCCAGATTCGCTGCTGACTGCTGCTCTTTCCTCACATCAGGTTCAAGCCAGGGCCTGCTTGGCGTGTTCACGACGGAACGAAACCGTTTACTCCAGCGCACGCCTGCTGGCACTGTGTTCCAGAGCCATGGCTGCACTTTCTTCTTGCGCCTCCACCGAGGTAGTAGTGGATGTGACGACCACCACGACCCGAGTCACGACGACGCCCGCTTCAGCTCTACCAACGGCCTCGATCAAGCCCACCGGCGCTGACAGCACGGCCCACGCCGCTTCCGGTGCCACCGCTGACATGACACGAAGCTCTGGGGTTTTGAGGCCCGTCACCGAGACGGCCCGCCCCACGCTGTACCGGCTTGCTGCTAGCGTCAGTTCGGGGCTGGAATTTGCCGTCAAGCTGGAGCTCGAGGCCCGCTTGCCAGGTCGCTTCTTTGATTATCAGGCTTCGCAATCGTACGTCAAGTTTAGCGTACGGCCCGAGGACTTGCCCGTGGCCACTGCCCTTTTGACTGTTGAGCGCCTCTCCGCCGTCGTCTGCGATCAGCCCATCAAGTCCTATGCCGGGCATCTCATCACCCAGAAACAGATTGTGGACATGATCATTCACAGCGAACACTGGGCCCATCTGCCTCGCCTTTGTCACGATGCCAACTTGCTGCTGGAGGAACAGGCTGGCCTTGTGGACGCCGTCACTGCGCAGCGCCGCCGTGCGGCTTTTCACCCCTTACAGAAGAAACGCATCACGGTGGGCGCGCGCAAGCGCGGGCGTGCAACGCGGCACATTTCGGAAATCGGCCTCAACACGGCGCTGGCGGGGGCCATCCGTCAGCATATCCCGACCTGGCAACCCGTGCGTAGCGAGCACGATTACACTCTTTTTGTGCGCCTGGGTAACAATCGCGTACTCGCCGCCATCAACCTCCACGCTACGCGCCTGAGTCAGCGCACCGACGTGGTTGAGGAGGGCCTACGCGCCGGCGTCGGTGTCACCATGGCCCTTTTGGCGCGCTTGGAGCCGGGCGACATTGTGGTTGATCCCATGGCTGGCCGGGGCAGTCTTCTTGCCGAAGCGGCTCGCATGTTTCCAGACGCCCATTACCTCGGCATGGACATGACCAACAACCAACTTCGCCGCATGGCCCAGAATTTTCACGTCAGTCGCAGTGGGGCGTCCTTTGACGTTCTTACGGCCAGTGTCACGGCCAATCCCTGCCTGAGGCCCGGCAGCGTCGATGCCATCCTTTGCGATCTTCCCTATGGCCGCATGTACGGTAGCCAGGAGGCGAATCGCGAGCTGTACCCACGTGCTCTGGCCACCATGGCCTCCCTCCTGCGCAAGGGCGGCCGCGCCGTCTTCATCACTGCCAAAGACCAACAGATTCTACTTGAGGAGTCGGCGTCCACGGGCTTTCACGCGTATTGGCCGGCCAGCCCGGCAGTGTCCCCGTTGACCTTTGCCCTGACTTCGCGCTACAACATCGGCCTCGGTTCGCTCTCCGCGTGCATCTCCGTTTTTAGCTACGGTGATGCCCCTGCCCCCGACATTGCCGGCTCTGTTCCTCAGCCTCTCGCCGAAAAGGCTACTCTCAAAGCCCAGCGTCGGGAAGAACGCAAGATGGAGCGGCGTGTGGCCCGTCAAGCCCTGCCTCAGAGTGATGCAAGTGACGGCGCTGAGCCCAAGCCGACGCATGTGCACCACCACACTGCTGGTGTCGCCACCACCAACAACGACGACAACAACAACAACAACAACAACAACAATAATAATAACAACAACAACGTGGCCTCGTCCGAGTCGGAAACCACTCTGACGGAATCCGACTCCAACAAGGAAGGAGACGAGGAGGACGAGGAAGAGGAGACTGGCGGGGCGCGACAGCCCTTGCCTGTGATCGTGGCCGGTGCTCGTCGGGGTCACCGGGTCCAAGCCAAGCGCTCCATCGTCGTGATGGAGCGCACCGTGTCTGCCTCGGCCACCACAGTGGCACAGGCAACTAGCTTTGTTCCCATTCCCACCGACGATGGCCGTGCCGTGATCAACTGCTCCCCGCGCTCCGCCTGGACACCGACGCCCACGCCCCCAGCCAAGCGTTCTAAAGCCGCCGACTCGAGCACCTGGTCCTGTATCATCTCATAGTACTTATACCCACCATCAATTGAGTGCCCAATGTCGCGACGTGACAATGCATCAACACGTATAATCCGATGTTCGACTCCGTGTCCGGTGTATCCGAGCCATCCATTCATATGATTTTGATTCATGTTTTTCTCCTTGTTGTTGTCAAGCAAAAAACAAAAAGCCATCACACACACACATAAAGGCAACAAACTCAAATTTTGCCCCAAAAAACCATTTTGATGAGGAAGAGAGAGCGAGAGAGAGAGAGAGGGATCGCTATCAACATCCGGTCCCGAAGGCCCGAGGCTTGGCAGAAGACGACTGACTGTCAAGTGGTCAAGTTGTGGATGGGCGTGCGGGCAGCCTGGGGTGGGAAGCAAAGCAAAGCGCCAGCATCATGAGTGAGGACAGCAAGCGCAAGTGAGTGCCGCTGGTGGAACATCGGGCTTCGTGTGCAGGCAGTGCCAACGCCCTGGACAGCTGCGTGGGGTGCTGCGTGTGACTCTTGACCAACGTGCTCAATGGGAGTGCGGGGATGCATGTCTGCGCTTTCACAGGCTACCGACACAGCCGGGCCGAGAGAAGAGCAGCACCAAGGCAGACCTGTGGAAGCTAGCACTCAAGCAAAAGGACCAGGACAAATCGGCACAAGCAGGTCTGTCTTGCAAAAGCGCCAATCTGGGTTGGAAAGACGCTTCCGCGTCGTCCCGTGCCAGGCTCACGTTTGGCCCGCGCCCGCGCAATCAATAGAATCTCGTACCATGCTGGTCGTGGGTGCAGCCCAGTCGGTAAGACCAAGAATACCGGTCTCCTGCCACCCACACCTTGGGCACTGACTCACTGCTCGCATCCTGTCCGATGCCCGACTGACTGACTGACTGCGTGCGCAACAGGGCAAATCTTCCTTGATCCTTCGCTTCTTGGATCGGTGTGTTTGATCGAATCAAGACCCACGATCGCATCCTTGACATGTCTTTATGAGCCATGCCAGATGCTTCCCCGCTGATGTCTGTTGGCCTTTGATTGGTGATGGGGCGGCAACCCATTTTCCTAGAGCTAGCGAGCAGCCCAAACCCACCATTGCGTTGGAATATACGTTTGGTCGCCGCGGTCGAGGGCACGAGCTGGTAGGCAGCCCCTCTGCCTGCGCTGTGCCTGGCACCTAGCATCGCTTGCCGACTGCACGCTAGCCTGTTCTCATTCCATGCCTCTTGAAACATCGTATGCAGGCCAAGGACATTGCCCACATTTGGGAACTGGGTGGCGGCACTGCGCTTAAAGATTTGATCGACATGCCCATCAGTGTATTCACCGTCAAGTGCGCTCCTTTGCATTTCAGCTCTCTTGATCAACGCAGCTATATTGTGCTTGTTCTCTTTGATTTTTATCTTCTGACGCTCGCTGGCCTTTCATGCTATGCTACCAATCACAGGAGCTTGAGCATCGTTGTTGTGGTTGACCTCGCAAAACCAGAGACCATCTGGCTCACCCTCGATTCTTTCTTTACAGCGGTATGTCAATGAATAACCCAAGCCGAACACGCTGCCACCTGTCTCGACCTGGCTATGTGGAAGTATATAAGCCAGTTCCAGTTCTTGAAGAACTGTCCTGTTCTTACGCCGCGGTCTCTTTCTTTTTGGGTCCCCTTTTGCCAGCTTCACACTCGCCTCAAGAAAGTGTTGGGCGACTTGGAGAGCAAAGATTCAAAGTATGAACCAGCTGTTGTCGCCCGGCTCGGGCTTGAGTTTTGCCAAAACACAGGGCAGCCCTTCGCGCCAAATATCCCTCAAAACTCACACCAAGCACCATCTTTTGGCTGATTTTTTCCCCTTGCCCGTCAAGAATTCCTGCCTATCTGCGCAAAAAAGCGCAGGTCAAGTACGGCGACGATCACCCAGTAAGGACGCGTTCAGCCAGGCGCACCTTTGAGTCGAATGTTTGGTTACATCTCATGGTGTTGGCCGCCCGTCTCTGTCACATGAACGTACAGGATGCTGCCTTGCTACAACTATTACCCGTGCCTGTGACCATCGTTGGCAACAAATATGATGTGTATCGGGTACGCAAAAGCTTGCTTGCTCGTGGCGCTCGTGGCGCGTGCCTGCACGCTCCCGGCATTCAAGCTTGTTGGGACATTTTGACCACAGCTTGGGGCTGCTCACCGCTGGATAGGATTTTGATTCCAACCTGCGAAAAAACGTCAACAAATGCCTTCGTTTCCTGGCCCATACCCACGGTGCTTCGGTCCTCTACACCAATCAACAGGTCTGCCTCTGAGAGCTAAATACGAACACCTACCATTGATTGAGCCTGAGCCAAAGTCATGACACAAAACTCTTGTCTCATAGGATGAAAGCCTTCTGAACCGCTGTCGAGCCATGTGGGCGCACCACGTCTTCAAGATTCCCTACACCTCGTCAGTGACATGTGCCGTGGCTTGAAAGTGACTGATTCTGACATACCTTTTTTGCCAGATGAAACGCAAGGGCATTGCTTCACACATCTCTTCCTGCCTCATGCTCGTCTGTTCTTCCCCACTGCGCTCTGCCCATAGAAAAACGGCCTCGTTCGATCACAACAAGCCGTTGATCATCTCTGCTGGTGCCGATTCCTTTGGCAGCATCGGTGTGGCCCGCAAGCCTTTGCATCCCGATGATCAACACACTTATCTTTGCGACTACCCTTGCCCCCAACAAGCTTGCTCATGTGACGTGACGCCACATCGACATGGATGTGTAGGTGCCCCCCCTTTGGATGCTGAGCATGCCGTATCCGCCCGCACCCCGCAGGCCATGTGGCAAGCCGTGTTCCAGCAAGCAGTGCCTAAAGCTCCGAAGACAGACGTACAAGCGGCCGTGGATGATCCAGCTGCCCACCAAGACTTTAAGGAACCTTCAATTGACGCTGCCCGTGCGCGCAAGGATGAGGTAAGCGCGCTATTTTCAACCGCTAGGCATTCACTCGCCCACCAGCAGCCCTCCACCATTACTTGTAAAATTCACTGGCCCTCGTTACATGCCAACAACCAGGAACTGCAACGCTTTCGCCGCCACCTGGAGCGAAAACAACGTGAAACTCGATAGCCGCTCAGCGGCTGACTGCTCGTTAAGTCAGCATTATTACCCATAGCCCCCTCATGATCAAAGCCACATTGTCATCGTCATCGTCATCATTCCTGCCATGCCCAACTGCCAAATCCACCTTGAATTGCAGTCCTTCCACCCTGGCCATGGCTGTGTAGCTCAGACCTGAAAACGGTGTATCAGCCCAGCTGTCATGCCACACCATTGACTTGGCCCGAACCAGCCAGACCAACCAGACCAAAGAAACTAAAAGCGCTCGTCAAGACAAAGCGTCGTGCAATTGTAACGCCAACCGAAAGTATTCATCGGTTCGCTCGTAGCTGATGCCAAGTTTTACAACCGTGCATGAAGTCGAGAGCCGTGTATAGGAAGGTGCGGGAACATGAGATATTACGTCCCCTCTCTGTTCTCCGGCCCTGCCCTGCCTACGCCTCCCACCCCAATTGAGACATACACGCACACAGAGCACATCCAGACTCACCAATTCGTGGGCTGCATAGAAAAACTTGCAGCAAGGCATTTCGCCGTTAAGATGCTTCAAAAACAAAAAGGCACCTTGCAGTGCCAAGAGGAAATATAAGAGGAGGTGCCCTTGTCCAAGCCCAAGCCCAAACCCCAGCCCTTGACCTTGGTGATCCAAAGGCCACCCGTGCACCTGTTTCGCACAGCAGCGTGATACATATCCCCAAATGTCCTTCAGCAAATTGATGGTCAGCTCACAGATTGTCATGAATCGACGGGCTCGCGCATGCCTTTTAAATTGCTCGTGTTGCTTGGTGACATGATGAAGACGCAAGAAAAACTAACACGTACACGGCAACGAACGACAAGCAAAAAATATCAGACAAACATTCAGGCATCAATCTCATCAAGTCCTTTCAGCAGTCGCTGCACCAATGCGACCATAGCAACTCGCATCCGAGGTAGAGTGTCTACGAGAATACGATGTCTCTCACGGGCCTCCATACTCCGCAGCCGAGTATTGCCTTGGTCGTCTGTCACAGACGTTTTCAGCATCTCTGGCCTGATGTGACAGACAGGAATGCCTTCGCGGTGGGAAATTGCAGAGAGCTGGTTGGCATCTTCGATCCAACCTAGCACCCCAAGGTTTGTCTGGTACCACTCGCAATGCTTGTCTTGTCCTTCAAAATCAACTGACCCCAACGTGCCAATCAGGCCAAGGATGCGTTGCTTCAGCCGGTCATACCAAAAGTGGGCATTCCGCGTCATCCCGCCAACGACGTGTGCGCGTTGGTATCGCGTGATGACACAGCCCAAAAACTTTGGTCCACTTGGCCGCATGAGATCTGGACGGTATCTTTCTGCAATCTCGATTTCTTGCTGAAGCCATTCGTTCCAGTTTGGCTCTTCGGCTTCAAAAAGATTCAGCAACCGACGCAATTTCCTTTCGTCATCCATAGGACCCCGCTCTGCTTCTTCCCGCGCGCGGCCTTGAAACAGCGAAGTGACAACGCTCAGAGCTTCGCAAGAAAAGAGGTCAGTCAAGCAAGGGGTAATGATGGCGTGGGCAGACATGGCGCACAAACGCGTAAAAGCGTCCAAGCTTGGGGCAAGGTCCAACACAATTGTGTCGATGTTGTAGTACCATGCCGTCATCTGGAGAACATTGCGTGGTGTGCAAAATTTGTCTGCTCGCGACGCGCCTCCTTCGCTTTTCAAGATGCTCGCAGCAAACTTGCTGACTTGCAACGCGCCAGGGAGCAGAAATAGAGCCTTGCTCCGTTTCGCGTTATCTTTTGTCACGGTGGAAAATGGGCGCTCTTCCCTCTGGCTTGACAAGGGAATGTTCACAACCTGGGCTGGCAGCAACCTGACATCTCGGATGTCGCACATTGTAGGGGCAAACGCAAGAAACAGGCTGTTTCGCCCTGTGAAGCCCGGATACCTTAAGCCGGGCGTGTTGAAGCTGGTTTGTGACAAATACCACGCTAGATCTTCGTGATTGTTGGGATGTAAGCACTTGCAAGTGTGTGTCAATAGCAAATCTGTCAAGCTATGCTGGGGGGTCAGCATCGACCAGCAGCACACGCTTGCCTTGCTCAGCCAGCTCCCAGCCCAACGCCATGGAAGATGTAGTTTTGCCGATGCCTCCCTTGTAGTTGAAGTTGGCGATGATCTTGACTTTGTGCTCTCGATACTCGTTCTCCATGGATTCAAGAACTTCAGACCTTTGATTTTGTCTCTCTTGGACCATCTGGTCTTGGATCGATGGCATGGGCATCGCCAGTGGATGGTCGCCATCTCCGGTCACAATGTCGACCTGATCTGCTCTGGGTGAGAGGAAAGGTGATGCAGCCATCGTTGCGGGGACCAGTGGGAAGAAACTGCGAGTGCTTGTTGGCACAGTTGTGGGAGTTGTTGAGTTCGTTTGAATCGCACGAATTGAAAAAACACACGTGAATTAATTCAAAAGTTGGCTGTGAATTGCACAACTCATGTGTATGAATTCGAAAGTCGGACTGCTTTTGACGTGCATTCAAAGAAAGTCTGTGTTGTATTTCGAGGCACAAAATATCTTGTCCTTTTGTGATCAGCACGAAAGCTCACTCCACATAACATTGCGCGGAGACCTTAAAGACGCCAGAAGTGGTTTTCTATCCTGGAAACAACCCTTCGTCGGAGTTGTTCAGCAAAGCACGATCACGAGCGTCGTCACAAAAAAAAAAAAAAGAATTCAACAGGATTGTCGCAAATTGCTCAATCTTAGTTTCAGCGAAGCAGATGGTCATCAGGATGCAGCACGGCCTGTCGACGGCGATGAACTGTAGACATTTGAACATGATTGGCGCAAGTCGCAGTCCTGGAGCCCAATCTCTTTGGCAGCATCGGTGTGGAGCGCAGACCTTCACATCCCACGCTTAACGCATACATCTTTGCGGGTCCCACCCAGTCGGCCCTTACTCTTAAGGCATGGTCATGTGCCACCAAATTGAACGCTCAACTGCAATCAAATTGCCAACTGTCCTTCTGATTCAAGACAAAGCGTCGTGTAGTTGGAGCGCGAACCGAAAGTATTCATCGGGTCGCTCGTAGCTGATGGCAAGTTCTACAACCATGAATGTAGTCGAGAGCCGTGTAAAAGACGATGCGGGAACATGAGATATCACCGTTCTCCGGCCTTGCCCGTCTACGCCCCCCACCCCAATTCACACACACACACACACACACACACAGCACATTCAGACTCACCCTGTTCCGGTTCGTGGACTGCATGAAAGTACTTGCAGCAAGCAACCTAAAGCATCCCGTTGTTGAGACGTACTTCAAAAACAAAAAAAACAAAAACTTGCAGCGGCGCAGCAGCATAGCATCCTCCTCATTCAGGGCAGTGCTGGCTGTACCTTGGGATTTCCGTCTCGAGATGCTTGCAAGGCCTGTTCTGCAAGCAAGCATTGTTTAGGCGTGGGCTTTGGCCCCAGACCCTCCTGTCCACCCCAAGGCAGTGTTCATGCGGTGGTGAGCAGAAGGACAAGCGTGTGCGAGAGGAAATATAAGGAAGGAGTCCTCGCCCTTGCCCTTGCCCTTGCCCTTGCCCTTGCCCTTGCCCTTGCCTGACACGATATGCATGTAAAAGCTACCGTACATGGAGTGCTTGCTTGAGTTGCTGGGCGTCTGCAGAGCGGAAGGGACACCCCTCTCCCTGCAAGACATCGCTGCAACTTTGAGGCGAGTGATCAATGCGCGACCCTTCTAGCCCGTAAAGGTGACGGATGCTGTACGCGTAACGCTTGCGGGCCACTGCAGCAGCACCCATAGCTTGCCGATACTCGCTGGTGAAGAGTTCGACGCTTTCCGTCACACACAAACCGGCCCCTAGATGACACACAGGTTTGGACCTGATTCTGCGACTCACTATGCATCTGTAGCTCTCATGCCAATAGCACCACCTGGCGATCTAATCTGTACCTTTAAGAAAAAGAACAAAAAGGACACGATCATGGTGCTTGAGGTGGTGGTGCGTACGCAGAAGGGTGTGACATCGCCGAGCGCACAAGGGCATGCAAAATGCTGCCGCGTCCACTTGATTTGCTCTCAGCGGCGGAGTATCTGCGAAGCCCCGCCATACAAGGTTGTCAGAAGCTGTATCAGCAACGGCGCAATTGAAGCTACGGTGGCGTGAATGGCTCACCATCCACCTGCAGCGATACTTCGGGAATGGTATAGGCAGACCATAGGCCTTGAATCCAATCCAGAACCTCCACCACACGCTCCTCGTCTATTTTGCGGTGATGGAGGGTCACAACAGATCAAATGTGAGCATGTACGACAAAGAGTGCAAGGCAAGCCAACCTTAACCCATTTGCAGAGCCTGGACATTTTTTTTCATTTATATTCACCTTGAAGGATTTGCGCGCGGGCACGCGCAAATACGTGCAGCTCTTGGCGGAGGGTACGCTCAGCAGCCTCGATGAGCACGACGGGAACTTGGTCGATACTCATGATAACCCGCCCGCCATGAACATACGCATTGGGGCGCATACAGCGCAAAAAGGCCAGCCCTTGCTCAAAGGGGACGCTTATTTTTTCAGACGTGGGCTCGTTTCGATGCCAGTACGCGTGCAGGGCCTGCCAAGCTCGTGTGCCAGATTCATCCAACATGTCCACATCAGAACTCTCGAGTCGTATCTTGACTCTCGTGTGAGCTGCAAATTGCTGAAGACGTGCGAGTGTCGGCTCTAGCCGTAGACGTCGCACAGCCAACAAGGCCTCCCTTTGCACCAGGCTTCGCCGCCACTCAGAGGGACCGGTGAGCAAGGCCAGCGCAACAAGGGCTGAGCTGCAGCGATCGAGCAAGGGTGGAGCAGAACCGTTGCACATGTCGACGGCCAGCAAACGCGAAGCAGATGGCAGCAATCGAGCTGGTGCTGCCTTGTCAATACAACTCCCACCCTTCTTGGGCCATGGAGGAATGTCGGCGACATGGAAAGCCTCTGCGCTGTCGACGTGACTGTACTCGCTCAAAGCCCGCAGCGCCTGCACTCGAGCCGTAACGGCCAGCACAAGCTCGTCCAACGACAAGGAGCCAGCCACCCCGTCCCTCAGCAAGCTCAACATCCTCCGCGATCACCAAGGCATCAAAACAGCCTCCCATCAACCCCCGCTGCCCCCGCTGCCACGCTGCCCTGAGTGAGCCAACGGCTCGTCGTCTGCTGTTCTCATCATCCAAAAAAAAAAAAAAAAAAAAAAAAGTATTTTACAAAATGCAGCCAAACGCTCTCAGCTCTATTTTTCTTTTTTTTTTTTTTTCGGAGCTTTCTATGGCGGCGATGGCTGAATTGTCGTCCTGCAGAGAGATGAACTCGTTTTTCTGGCGCATCGCTAATGGTATATCGAATGGGAGCATCCTATCCTACCCTATCACAAGGGCTTTGGTGTTAGTCACTCTTCTGAGACAATAACGTCGAGGGTACATCATAATAAGTACGCAAAGAGAGGTGATTCGACCACTTGGGTAACGCAAATGCCATGAATTCTTGAGCTCTACTACTTGTTGGCAAACTGGTACTTGCGCAAGTGGAGGGCCACGAGCACGGGTTCATCTGGAATGACGGGCCCTTGCTTCCGGGACTTGGGAAGCCGATCGCGGGCGGCCTGTGATAAAGGCTCATCTAGGCGGACCTTGAACTTGCCGGATTGTCCAAACGCCCCCTCAATCATCCCCGTGTCTCCCGTGGAGAGTGTGATCGGCTTGTAGGCAAACTTATTCATGTCTGTTTCCTTGGTGAACATGTCCCGGCAGACAAGCGTGTAATCGTCATGGACCCTGTGGTAATTTCATGACGGTGTTAACGAGGTGACAAGCCAGGGGTTAGCACCTTTGCTGAGGGCGCCGTGTCGTGTATGCGTGTGCAAGACTTTGAGCAGGTGCAAACTGACCGCTCGACTGTGCCCTCGCGCACGCGGTCTCGGTAGACGCGGATCGAGGGTAGCCAGGAAGTACGGGGATCGGCCTCGGACGTGATGGCGTGCAGTCGCCCATGAAATGCTAGCCGGCACTGGGTTCCGGTCATAAAAGTGCACGGTGTCTGTGAGATGAGAATTGGTGACAGGCGCATTCCGTGGCCAAGCCAAGGTGGGATGGACGTACGGCAGACGCGTCGTGCTGGGCATCAAGCCGGGAGCCGATGACCAGGCTTGTGGGGCTGCACATCACGGGCGTGGCAAACTCTAGCACGGCATACTGCTGGCAGGTCTCGTCCGTGTCCAGCTCGTCACAAAAAGCATACTCAGTGTCAAAATCCAAGGCTGAGAACCAAAAGTGAGTCAGGCCATCAAGGGCCCACAAAATTAGAAATGCAACGGCAAGACGCCGTCTGTTGTTCGTGGCGCGGCAGGCGGGCTGCGGTCAGGGGCGCAGCTCAGAGTTGTACGTACCACCTTCGGGTAGCGGCCCATCCAACTCGTATTTCGGCTAAGTGGGGGGTTGTGGCAGCATGATATTATGTGGCGCAATGAGCGAGGGCCGATATTGCGGCGTCCAGCGGCAGCACGGCAAACCTGAGTCGATTTGAAGAAGAGGACGGTGGCGAGAAGTGTATGGTGGCCCACTGAAACGTGGATCTTGGTTCGAGACGAGAGGGCTTGCTTATAGAACCGGATACGCCGGACCGCTGCAACCGCCGCTATTGACATTGCACGAAAGAGCATCGGTGACGCATATGTCTGGCTGGCGCAACAGCCTTTGAGCAAACAAAAGAAAGGGGGAGATATATGGATTCAAAAAAAAAAAAAGTCTTGCGCACCTGTGACGGCCCGCATGCTACCGGGAGCTGCCAAGATGCCTCGCTCCATGCTACTGGCATCAAACTGTGTCACGCAAATGCCCAGACGGTCACCTTGGACGGCCGAGGTCACTGGCCGCTTGAACATCTGCATCGATTTGACTTTGCGTTGAACCTAAGGAGGCAATATGGGCCAGCAGTACTATGCTCAAACGCTCGTGCAATGGCAACAGCAAGCAAGGGAGGGCCGAGCCACGATTGGCGAATGAGTACCTGCAAGTGAGGCACTTCAATCATGTCGTCTACTTTGACACGACCTCGGGTAATAGTGCCCGTCAACACGGTTCCCTGATGAAATCATGGAAGGGGTGCGAGGAATATCAACCTTAGATTCACCGTCAACACGAACACAGCACCGGGCTGGCTTTGTGAAGGGCCATATTTTGCCACTATCAAGGACACGCTAAGCATGATGATGATGATGATGATGTACCTGGCCCTTGATGGGAAAGCAATGGTCGACGGCAAACTGAAAGGGTCCATCCACTTGGCGGGCGGGGCGGGGCAGGGCCTGGACGAGCTGGTCCATCAGGTTCTCAATGCCTTGCGGTGAGCCCGAGCCTGGTGCACAATTGGGATTGGGGTGAGGAGAGGGAGCCCACGATTGCGTCTGCCAGCCTGACACCAGACGCACCAGGATTGGCGGCCACTGTGATCATGGGTGGGTTCTTGAAGCTATGATCGTTGCAGTGTTGTGCGGCAGCATGAGATGTGGAGGCTGGATAAGGGGGCAGGTAGTGCGTGCGAGGACTCGAGCTCCGCTTCACAAACCGGGTCTGAGCAAATGTTTTGGCAAGACGAAGCTTCATCTTTTCGATTTGTTTCTCACGATCGCCCTCGGGCAGCATGTCGACCTTGTTGATGACCACCACCTAACCACAAGCGCAAGGGGAGGTGCCGAGCGATCAAGAACACTCTCTGTAAGGGCAGCGACAGCCCAAAAATGTTAACCCTGATCCAACACCCGGGCGACGTACCAGGCGGTCGCAGGTGATCTCGCCAATGATAAGGCATTCGGCGGTTTGCGTTTGAATGCCTACCGTACATGGAATTCGAAGAGGAGGGCGTTGTCGTGCGTCAGCAGCAGCGATGGCGCCGTTGAGTGAAAACAACACACAGCACATGGTACCTTTCTGAACATCAATGACGAGCATCATCAAGTCGATGATTTGAGCGCCGCCAATAATGGTTTTGATGAGCGATGCATGGCCGGGGCAATCAACCAGCGTGACTTGCAGCAGCTCCTTGCCCGGAACTGTGGCCACGCAGAGGTGAGAGGGGTGCGTCGTAGGGTCAAACGTGCCGTGAAGAGCAGCAGACTAAGGGAGCGCGTGTACCTTGCAAATGGGCGGGTAGGGGGAGCATGAACGATGAAAATCCTAGGGGAACCATTGAGGTTTGGGAAAACAGCGACGAGCCAAAGTGTGAGCAGACAAGTCACCCACCCTGAGCCTTGGTTGTTGGCCTGGCGCATAGGTTCTTCACAAACGCGGTCTGGCGTGCAGTCCAGCGCAAACAGACGAGTGCAAGGCAGGGGTCGAAACATGTGACATACCCAAGTCCAAGGTGATGCCGCGGGCTTTGCTCTGTGGATTTTTGTCAAAGGCAGCCGTGGAGGCGACGGTGCTGAGCGCTTTGGCTTTTCAAAGAGGCGATGACAAGACGGAGTGAGGACAGCTTGCGTCAGATGTAGCTCAGCAAATCAAATGACAAAGCCATATCCTTCTCGTACCAAGCGAAGTCTTCCCGCTATCCACATGACCCAAGACACCGACGTTGAGATTCAAGATGGCCCCGGGATCCACCCCGGCCGTCTCTGTCGCCGCCGCCGCCGCCATGTCTCTCGCAAAATTTGCGGACACCCGGCAACAATAATCTGACAATAAATTGTCAGCAAAACACCACACGAGCCAACCTGTCCTTTTTGTCATCCATCGTCATTGTCATGGTTTCTCCCGTGGTTTCGTGTCATGTTGTGACAAGTTTTTCTTCTTTCCTTTGTGTGTGTGTGTGTGTGTGTGTGTGTGGTGTCATTTCGAATAATACTGATGCATCACATCACCATGACCCTCCCTTAACACCTGAACACCTTCTTCTCTCAGTCCCGAAGTTTTATTGCGACATTGCGTACACGGCTGCCTCTGCCTTAGGGAGACTGCTACTGAATACACCTCCCCCCGCCATGCCTGCCTGCTGTGGGCTGGCGCAGCTCCCTGGCTGGGGATGTGGCTTTGCTCATTGAGCATCATCACGACGCAGTCTGGAAGGAGCTGGTCCAATCAGTCGGGGAGGGTTGTCTGCCAGAGCAGATCGCCTCGTGCTCGGCAGCAGGACTGACTGAGCCCTGTGGGCAGACACAGTGGTGGATAGGGGGAGAACCGGACGCAGCTGCAGATTTTCCGTACACACCGTGTCGTGAGAGCCTGGTTGGTTCCACCTCATCAATTCCTTCTCCGCTGCTCCTTGGCTACCTCGTGGTCCAAGGTGCAGGATGGCGCTTCAAGGACGCATTTTTCAACAGCTTGGTCGAGTCCGAATCAAGAGCCACCTGTCGCTTGCTACTGCTCTTCGCCACCTGCACTTGACTTCAGCCATGGCTGCCACTACGCCCTATCCAACTCTGCTGTCAGAGGTCAAGGTCGGCGACCTGACCCTGAAGAACCGCGTTGCCATGTCGGCCATGACACGTGCACGCAGCATCGGCCGCATCCCCAATGACCTCAACCGCGACTACTACGCACAGCGCGCCAGCGCCGGCCTGATCGTGACTGAGGGCATCCCTGTCACGGAGCGCGTGAGTGCCGCTGCCATGACCGCACTCTGAACCATATCAGTCCTTCCCCGTGGCACTCGTTTGCTCACCATGTGTGCGGATCATGCGTGTATCAGGGAGCCGGCTGGATCGATGTGCCGGGCCTTTACACCCAGGAACAGACCGAGGGCTGGAAGAAGGTCGTCGATGCCGTTCATGCCAAGGGTAAGCAGGGCTCTTCTTGCTTTTTTTTTTTCAATTTTTTTTTTTTTTGAGCCACGCTTTCTGTTGCCATTTCTTCAACTCATGGACATGGGCACTCGATATGTGCAGGTGGCGTCATCTTTGCGCAGCTGTGGCACATGGGCCGCCAGGCCCACAGCTCCTTCTTTAATGGCGAGCTGCCCTTTGGGCCCTCTCCCATTGCCATCGTGTCGGAGCGCGGCGTCAACACGGCCGACGGCTCGCACGCTCCTTACGAGGTGCCGCACGAGATGACCGTGGATGAAATCAAGGCCACTGTTCAGGTGGGTCGAGTTCACTACACTTTTATGCGGCTCAAATTCACAGCGTTGCCGCGCATGGTACATGGCACGAACCTCACCATCAGTTGCCACTTAAACTCGACACCAACAGGAGTACAAGAAGGCCGCGGCCAATGCCAAGGCCGCTGGCTTTGATGGCATCGAGCTTCACGGTATGTTTGTTACTCGTGGCCCCTGCCACCAGTGCCTTTTTTTTCGTGCGTGTGTGTGTGTGTGTTTGTGTGTGATGAGGGACGGCCAACGGTGTGCCCATTGTTGGATCAAAGTGCCGCTGTCATTCTTTGGTCGTGCTTGCCTCACGTTGGGCGGCCTACCTTGCGCTACCCCTCTCCATCATCAGGTGCCAATGGTTACTTGATTGACGAGTTTTTGCAGTCTTGCTCCAACACCCGCACGGACGAATATGGTGGCAGCGTGGAGAAGCGCTTCCGCTTCCTGAATGAGATCCTTCAGGCCGTGCTCGAGGTCTACCCCAAGGAGCGCGTTGGTGTGCGCATTAGCCCCAACGGCAACTTTGGTGGTATGGGCTCGGATGACTTCCGCGAGACCTTCCTGTACGTGGCTGAGCAAGTGGGCAAGTACGAGGTGGCCTATCTGCAGGTCCTCGATGGTTTGGGCTTTGGTTTCCACGAGAAGGGCGAGCCCCTGAAGTTGACGGAGATCCGCCCTCTCTTGCCCAAGGCCACTGCTCTCTTTGGCAACGTCGGGTACGTTTATGGTTCTGGTCTCTCCAGTGTCTCCCGTCTCTTCTGCCAAGACTAGCCACATCTCAGTCCCGGCAATCATTCGTTTGACTCACTTTTCGTTTTCCTTGCCTTTCTTTTGTTTCTCTTGGTGCGCGCAGCTACACGGCCGAGACCGCAGAAGAGACGCTGGCCGCCGGTCATGCCGATGTCATTGCTTTTGGCCGTCCTTACCTGGGTAATCCAGACCTGGTGGAGCGTTTTGCCAACCAATGGCCTCTGGCTGATGGGCCGGAGCACGGCGCCTGGTTTAGCCCCGATATGCCCGACCGCACCAAGTACAACTCTAGCTGGGGCTACTCGGATCAGCCCACGTACCAGGAGCAGGTCAAGGCCTAAGCCCGCTGTTCAAGGGCTGTGCTGCGTAGCGCTGTTTATGGCGCGATCTTGCCCCCTCCTCGCGAGCCACCACCTCAATGTGAGAGAGGGACTTGACATGTGGGCCCTACATACACACACCCGCCTGGCGCTTCTCTTCCTCTTCTATACGATGATTTAAAAAATTGATTCTAAGAGCATCAGTCTTCTTCCACCCATGACTTTATGGCTTTGCCTTTTGGCGCGATGTGATGATGGCTCCCAGACTGCGCCGAGATTAGCAGACTACGGAAGACTGCAGAAGACTGAGCCAAGCCAAACTGTCAGGCTGGACATGGTGCATGTTTGTCAACGTGTGCATGCCGTCAGGTGTTGGTAGCACACGTGTGGCTCAATCAATCATCACGTGTGATAAAACCATAAGACACTCAAGCCAACAGCGTCATCCATGTGTAGCTGGACACCAGTACTATGTGTGGTAACCCCGTAGACCAAGTAGATTTATCTGACATCCTCACCAATTGTGTGAGGGCTTGCGCCATCCCAAGTGACCACGCCATCACATAGAGCGTAGAATATGCCACACCACTATCGTCGATGGCAGTGGCAGCGGCAGCGGCAGTGGCAGTGGCAGTGGTAGTGGCAGTGGCAGTGGCAGTGGCAGTGGTAGTGGCAGTGGCAGTGATTGAGGGGTAGTGGTGGCGCGGTGGCAGTGTGTCTGTGTGCTGTGGTCCATCAGTTGATTCAAGTAGGAGAGGGAGGAGAGAGAGAGAGAGAGGGAAGCGAGAAAGATGCGATCTCACCCTCTCTCTCTCTCTCCAAAAGCTCACCCATCTCAACATGGGAAAAAAAAAAAGTCTTGTTGATGTAATAACATGGAGTAAAAGGGCAGCGGGTGAGGGGGGCGAACAAGGTGCAGCCTTAGCTACGACGTAAGAACAGTGGAAAGAAGAGGGAGGGGAGAAGGGGGAGAGCGAGGTAGCGTGCACGGGGTGAAAGCGACGGCCCCATCATTCATGATGAAGCGCCACATCACCAGCCAGGAGGAGCGCAAGTCCACACACACACACACATTCCCTTTAGTTGGATCAGTGGACAAACGTGTGCTGACGCTTTCGATCTACGTTTGGCTCTGGTGTTTTCTTCATCTTTGATGATATCTCTGATTTGGCTTTATCCACGCGTTGCGGTGACATCGTCAGCATACCGTGTCTCTGTGATTTTACCTCTAGCTAGTGATGTCTCTGATTTTCTTCTTGAGGTTTCTTTTTCTTCTTCTTCTTCTTCTCTCTGCTGTCATTGAGGTGCGTGCGACCGCGACGACCGCGACGACCGCGATCGCCCCCCTCTCTCTTCCCCTCTCTCTTCCCCCCTTTCTTGGGTTGCTCGGTCATCTGCTTCTCTGCGCATGCTCCTTGCCTTTCTTGTTCGCGTGTTTGATGGGTCAGATCCTGACCCCTCCCCACTCGGTCCACACAAGCACAGATCATTCACAAGCACATTTACATGGGACGCTCTCTCTTGTGATCCGATCTCATTTGCTGCTCACGCCCACCACACACATCCGATCTGCGCACGCCTCTCGCCAAAGTTCTCACCTGGCACCTGGCTTGGGTGGATGATCCCGCTAGTTGAAATTTCTGTGCCTTTGAAGAGCTTGCAATCCTTCTGACGCCGACCCCAAGCGCCGTCATCATGGGTGCCACTGCCTCAACCCAGGCCACAGGCCGTCTCATGAGCACCATCGTTCAACAGCCAACCGCAGTACGTGCGGGCCTCACTGATTTGACCACCGCCAACGCTTGAAACCTCATCACGATCTATGCAACGCGCGCCGGCGCCCGCCTCAAACGTGCGCACAGGATTCCAGCTATGTCGTGCGCCATCGCGATTTTGGCGAGAAGCTCCTGGACCACGCCATCCAGGATCGCCCCGATCTCGACACAGTCTACAAGATCTTTGCTTGGTTTGTGCCACGTCACTGTTTGACCACCCCAGCCCAGAGCTCTCCTTCCTTTCCACTCAAGTATGCCCTCACCCTTGCCGAACCTGCCCGCATCCAACCCATCTCCCTCCCAGGTCTGCCGAGGAGCGCAGCGAGCGTCCTTTCATGGGCACCCGCGCCAAGCTGAGCGATGGTTCGCGTGGTGACTACGAATGGATCACCTATGCCCAGGCCATTGATCGTGTGGATACCGTGGGCAACGCTCTTGTAGCCGCAGGTGTCAAGGCAAACGACGCCGTTGGCGTCTTCTCCATCAACCGCGAGGAATGGGTGACCACCCTCCTCGCCATTCAGCGCGCCGGCAGCGTCTGCGTTCCCCTCTATGACACCCTTGGTGCCGAGGCCGTCAACTACATTGTCAAGGATGCCAAGATCGAGACTGTTCTTGTCTCGGGTGACAACTTTGACAAGGTACACACGCCGGGCCCCTCTCCTTCTTTTTCTCGCTTGGTGCAGCCACTAAGAACCCCCCCATCTCTTGATACCACTGTCGTCCTTCTCACCCCGCCCCGCCACCATTGACTAGCTGATGGAGAACATCAAGGATTGCGATGCTGTCCACACTGTCGTCTGTTTTGATACCATTTCCGATCAGCAGCGCAAGGATGTATGTCCCATACCCCGTTGCTTGCTAATAGCGAGCTGGCGATAGAGTGCAAGGGGTGGTCTCATCTCAAAGCATGCCTGGTAGGCCGAGGGACACGATCTGAAGCTTTATACCTTTGAAGAATTCTGCACCCTTGGTCGCCAAAACAAGGTGGCCCCCACCGAGCGCAAACCGGAAGACCTCATGTACAACATGTACACGTCGGGCACGACTGGTCGGTGCTCCGCCCACATGCCCCAAACCTTGCTACCAACCAGTCTTTCTCCTTTTCCGGTCGGTCATCATGATCACAATCATGATTGTTCACGCTTGCTTTCTCAGGCAACCCCAAGGGTGTCCTGCTCAGCCAGCGCAACTTTCTCAGTACTGTCGGCTCGCTCTTTGCCATTGGTGTTGACATCAACGAGAACGACGTCTACCTCAGGTCGCCAAGCAGCCTCTTTCCCGCCCCGCAGCCGCCTCCCACACCCCTCCCGGCTGCGATATCCGGCAAGATGCTGTGCTAACCCACTTGATCTCGTTCCTTGCGCAATAGCTATCTGCCCCTGGCACATTGCTTTGAGGCCCTTGTGGTTATGGGCTGCATCTGTGCTGGTGCCTCGCTTGGTTTTTACCAGGGCAACGTGCGCCTCCTCACCGACGACATCGCGGCCCTGCGCCCAACCATCTTTGTTGGCGTGCCTCGCGTGTACAGCCGCATCTATGACAAGGTGCTCGACTCGCTTTCGGACAGACTTGTTCCCCTGCCCAAGTATCAATCTGCTCGAGGCGCACTCACGCCATCAACGCGATGCCATGTCTGAAATCTATAGATCCAGCAAACTATCGAGGGCTCGAGCACCCTCAAGCAGCTTATTTTCAAAACAGCCTACGATTATCAAGTATGTGCACAACGAGCACTTGCAACAAGAATAGCCAAACCCCGTTCAATCCGCTCACGAGCCTGGGCCCTGGTCTGTCCCCCTGTCGCGCCCCCCGCAGTTGGCCCATGTCAACGCGGGCACCCGCAGCGGCTTTTGGGACGCGCTCGTTTTCAACAAGATCAAGGAACGCCTTGGCGGCCGTATTCGCATCATGGCTACTGGCGCTGCGCCCATGCCTGCGCACATCATGGACTTTTTGAAGGTTTGTCTTTGTCACAATTTTCCGGAAATCCCCGAAATCCTCAAAACTTGCCAGGGCGTCTCAATGACGATTCATCACACTCACAACGCACGCAATGGCTATGGGGTGGGTTGCGGCGCCTTCAGGTTGCCTTTGGCTGTGCCGTGTTCCAGGGCTACGGCATGACTGAAAACGCGGCTGGTGGTATGTTTCCGATCGGCCTTCCAAAGAGGGGATACTCACGGTCTTCCCTCGTGCTCTTCTTCAAACCTCTCACTCTTACTGTCACGCGCTCGTAGCCGTGGTCACTCCCGTGGATTACATCAACAACGCCGGCAAGGTCGGCGAGCCTCTGCCGGCCTGCGAAGTCAAGCTGGCTGATGTGCCAGAGATGAACTACCTCCATTCGGGTACGTGATCGTTGGTCATCGTACCTACGCTTACCAAGGGTAGCATGCCACGCATTCGACTTCCATATTACTTGGCTCATATACACTCACCTCGTGATGAAAATAGACACACCCTACCCACGTGGTGAGGTTTGCATCCGTGGCCACAACGTGTTCCGTGGTACGTATTGAGTGTCGTGCTCAGTATCACGCGACTGGCTCCCAGCTTTGAGCCTAGCCCTCATGATCCACTCCATGGCACAGGCTATCACAATCTGCCCGATAAGACCAAGGAGGCCCTTGATGAGGATGGCTGGCTGCACACGGGTGATATCGGCCAGTTCCTTGAGGACGGTGCTCTCCAGATCATTGATCGCAAGAAGAATATTTTCAAGTCAGTTGTCAATCTGCTTGCTCCCTCACGAGATGATCTTCAATTAGCCTTGCAACAAGCATATGAGCAAAACGCAGGTCTCACTTTGCAATGCATCTCCTTGACAGGCTGGCCCAGGGTGAGTACGTGGCTGCTGAAGAGCTCGAAGGCATCTTCAAGAAGTGCAAATACGTAGGCCAGATCTGGATTTACGGCAACAGCTTCCATACGACTTTGATTGCTGTCATCGTGCCCGACCCCGATACGATCATGCCGTGGTGCAAGGAACAGGGCATTCAGGGTGACTTTGCCACTGCCACCAAGGATGAGCGCGTCAGTTGGCCCGCCCATCAATTCCTTGTCTGGCGTGTGGTTGTCAAGCAGCCCTCACGCCGCATGTTGTGCTCGCAGGTCAACAAGCTTTTCCTCGAAGACATTCGCCGCATCGCAAAGGCAGACAAGGTGGCCAGCTTTAAAGTCCCACAGGACATTATCGTCGAGGTAGGAACACGGTCCACTGTTCCGCGCCAGTTTCGCCTTTGGAAGCTGTTTGTCTCACCAAGAACGTTCTTGGGCTCTGCAAATATCCAGAGTGAGATTAACGAGCTGAACCAGGGCTTCTCCACCGAGAACGACTGCTTGACGCCCACCTTCAAGCTGCGTCGCCCTCAGCTCAAGAAGCGCTATGAGAAGCAAATCGACGCCATTTATATCAAGCGTGATGGGTGCAAGTGAGCCCGTTTTCACGCCTATCAGGCCACCACATACCTCCCATCAGCCAAAAGGTCGATTTTTTGGACACAGCACAACAAACGATTTGGGTGGAAGGCTGATATTGCTTTCGCCAGCTTGGCCGGTTTTTTTTTACGGTGCTACCCCTGGTTCCGTTCCAATTTGCCAAGGTTTTTTTTTCTTTTCTTTCTCTTCATAGTTGGTTTCTCGTGACTTGCGTTTTCGTTCTTCGCTTTGATGTCTGAATGACAAATTCAGTTTTGTCTTTGGTCGAATTTTCGAATTTTCTAGTCTTTCCTGTGCGCTATTTTTTAATGAGTAGATACCTCAAAAACAAGTACAATTGGTTGGTGTTATCATTCGGTAGCAAGTGGGCACGTCATCAATGATGACCACCGGTTACAGAGGGAGAAAAAAAGTAAACGACTAGAGCAGACCTGTCACCCGAAAAGGGGGAAGAGCGTGTGACGGGCTGCTCGAGAGCAGAACCGCTCTTCCTTGCACCCAATGGGAACAGGAGGTACCTTTTTTTTATAAGCGCATGGCGCATTTCGAAAAACTAGTTTGTTCTTGGGTTTACGGCTTGGCGGGCTTGCCATCGCGCTTCTCATAGATGGCATCAATCTGCTCCTTGTAGCGCTTGAGCAGCTGAGGCCTTCGCAGCTTGAAGGTGGGCGTGAGGCAGTCGTTCTCGGGTGAGAAGCCCTGTTGCATGTCGTTGATCTCATTCTATTGCAATGCAATTTAAACAAGGCGTGAGTGGATTCAAGCACCTGGTAGCATCGTTTTCGCTTGTGTGCCTCGGAGTCGAGGCTTGGGGCCAAGCGCGACGCGTACCTCAATGATCACATCCTGGGGCACCTTGAAACTGGCCACCTTGTCCGCCTTGGCAATGCGACGAATGTCATCTGAGATGAGCTTTTCAACGCGCTCATCCTTGGTGGCGGTGGCAAAGTCGCCCTCGATGCCCTGCTCCTTGCACCACGGCATGATCGTGTCCGCGTCGGGCACAATGACGGCAACCAGCGTAGTGTGGAAGCTGTTGCCGTAGATCCAGATCTGACCCACATATTTGGACTTTTTGAAGATGCCCTCGAGCTCTTCGGCAGCCACATACTCGCCTTGTGCCAGCCTAGGAAAAAAAGAGCAGAGTCAGGCGGAAGAAAAAAAGGAAAGAGGTTCAAAAGCAAGCTCTGATGAATAAGACCACCATGGAACGGAAAAAAGACCACCATGGAACGGAAAAAAGACCAAAAAACGAAAAGGGGGCGGGACACCATCTTTTGCTGTGGCGAACACTGACTTGAAAATGTTTTTCTTGCGGTCGATGATCTGGATGGCGCCATCCTCCAAAAATTGGCCAATGTCACCCGTGTGCAGCCAGCCATCCTCATCCAGAGCCTCCTTGGTCTTGTCGGGCAGGTTATGGTAACCTTCAGGAACGGACATGGGCAATCAAGAGGCGTGAGACAGCGGTCAAACTGTCAAAACCACAGAGTGGGCGCATGGAAAAACGCAAAAGCATGCTTGGTCTTACCCGAGAAAAGGTTGGAGCCACGGATGCAGACCTCGCCGCGCGGGTAAGGCTTGTCTATTGGACGACAAAAAACAGCATCCTCGACGTTAGCTCCTCCAGAGGAAGAAGTGTGCGTGTCACAAGGGGGTGGATTGGGGCGGCACACAAATGAAGGCGTGTTTAAGCAAGAGGAGGACCGGAACGCACCGGTGTGCAGATAGTTCATGTCAGGAACATCGGCCAGCTTGATCTCGCACGAGGGAATGGGCTCGCCAACCTTGCCAGCGGCGTCGAGATAGCCGAGGGGAGTCACGCAAGCGGCAGCGGCGTTCTCAGTCATGCCATAGCCTTGGAACACGTCGCAGCAGAAGACGACCTTCAAAAAGTCCATAAGATGGCCTGGCATAGGGGCAGCGCCTGTGGCCATCATGCGGACGCGGCCGCCCAGGCGCATCTTGGTCTTGTTGAAGACCAAGCTGTCCCAGACTGGGTTGCGGGTGCCGTTGCGGACATTCTCGAGCTGGTTCTTGTAGGCAGTGTCGAAAATGCTCTTCTTGACCCAGCCGGATTCCTCGACGGTCTGCTGGACCTTGTCGTAGATGCGGCTGTACACGCGGGGCACACCGGCAAAGATGGTGGGACGCAGCGTCATGATGTCGTCGGTCAAAAGACGAATGTTGCCTTGGTAAAAGCCGACGGAGGCACCAAAGCCCAGACCAGTGAGCTGCAGCAGAGCTTCCAGGCAATGGGCCAGGGGCAGGTAACTACATTGATAAGCAACGCAGCAGTGAGGCCAGCAGGTTGGACCAAGCAAAGCAGGCTGTGAGCCTTGGGATTGGGGCTGGGAGGGCCAAGGAAGCTGTGTCCACTTGCACTCAGTCACTCTTGAGCCGACGGCATTTAGCAAGGAGGCGTACCTGAGATAGACATCATCCTCATTGAGGCGGATACCGATACCGATGATGGCACCGACGTTGGAGAGGACGCTCTTGTTGGAGAGGCGAACACCCTTGGGGTTGCCAGTGGTTCCCGACGTGTACATGTAGTAAACCAAGTCCTCGGTGGTTCGCTCCGCGGGCTCTCCGGGCTTGTCGCAGGTCTTGGCAAACTCATCCATGCTAAAGATTGTGAAGCCAGCGTCCTCGCCCTAAAACCACAAGACCATCTGAGTTACGAGGCAACCGTAGGTGCTTGATAACCCGGATATGCGGAACTAAAGTGACGACTTCAAGCAAATGAACGCAACATAGTCGTGCATGTTGCCAGCAAAAGGTACCTTCTTGCGCATCTCGTCTGTAACAGGGTCAAAGACGATGATCGTCTTGACGCACTTGGCTTCAGTGGCATTCTCAATTAGCTGTGGATGCGTTTAAGGTGAGTATTGGCAGAAGGGCAGGTGGGCAGAGCACATTCGCGCACAGAGACATGGTGCACCAGCAAAAAAATAGGACGGACCGTGTCAAAGTTTTCCTTGGAAACGAACACGGTTTCGACACCGGCATCACCGAGGATAAAGGTGACGGCCGAAGGGCCAAGAGTATCGTAGAGGGGCACGCAGATGGCGCCTTGGCGCATGGTGGCCATGAAGCTCTTCATCCACTCGGGGCGGTTAATGCTGAAGATACCGATGGCATCCTCAGCCTTGACACCGAGCTTGTCGAGGGCACCGCCGAGCTGCTCAACCTGGGCATGAATCTCCTCGTAGGTCTCAAACTCAAACTCGCCGCGCTTGCCATTGGGCAGGTAGCTGCGGATACCCATGCAGTCGTTCTTGGCAAACTTGACCGAGCCACTACGAGGTGACGCGCGAAAATATTATGGTGAGGCGTTCCTCTTCACCTGAACTCGGTCGGAAAGGGAGAGAGCGAGAAAGGGAGAAATAGGAGAATGCGACGAGGGGAGGGAAAAACCAGCCAGGACGAGGTGGCAGAGGATAAAAAAAAAAAAATATCCATCTGCGGAGCAAAACAACGATGCACCCACCGCTTCCAGAGCTTCCAGACCGTGTTGATGTCGGGTTCATCCTCAAAAGGAAGCTCAATGAGGCGATCCTTGAAGTTGCGATGGCGCACTGTGTAGCTTGAGTTCTAGCAGGGTAGCGAAAGAAGCGATCGTTGGGAGTCGCAATGTCAGAGCAAAAGTGAGTGATCAGCAGCGCCTGGCGCTTAAATCTTCTTCTTCCTCTTGCGCCGGGCTTGATGGCTGCGCACGTACCTCAGTGGCGGGCGCCACTTGGACGCACATTTCCCTGACGGGATCAAATGAGGGTGTGTTACCCATGGTGACTGTATTTATGGTTCTGCGGGAAAAATAGGAGCCTAGTGAGAGTATGGTGCTTTGGCAATCGGTCGCGGCCAGTGTTTGAGGCAGGGAAGAGAGAGGCGGGGGGTGTTACAGCCGCAAAAAGGGATTCATGGAGCCATTGAAACCCCACCCGCACAAACAACAACATTAAGCACAGCCAAGGCCAAACGCAACCCGCCCACAAACGCGCAGTCACAGACACAGAAGAACACGAGCAAGCAGCTCGCGTGCTCGCAACATAGGTGTATGACCGCGCCACTCGCCCTCTCTCACGAAGCCCCAACACTTGGCTGCGACCGCGCAAGCGGCCAACGAGGGAGGAATCGGGAGTGCACAAGAAAACACAAGCAGGCACTCGGCATGCCCTGTCTGGGTGCGGAACTACCATGGGCCCGGAGCCAGAAGCCCTTCCCGACCGACGTTGGGCCTTGAAATCAGGGGCGACGCACACCAACGGCACTGACGCACCGATCCATCCAATAACAACACACAACGCAACACAGTGCAGTTGGAGCCGTTGAGCAGCCTGCCTGCCTCCCCTTGTCTCTTTGGGATCATCCCCGATCCTTTCAGCGCACAGCAGCAGCAGAGGAGTACCCTTTGTGCCAAGAGGCGATGCCTTTCAAATGCAATCCAGTTGAATATGGCCACTGGCGATGAGGGCTGGCGCTGCCGTTTTACCTCCAAAAACTGATTTGCAAGCAGATAGAAAAATGAGAAAGAGTCGAAACCACGAGAGATTCACAACACGTTCACGTTGGCAGACTTGGTGCACGGGTTTGCACAGAAATCGAAGTAATTCAAACCATAATATTATGCATATAAGTGATAGTTTGAGAAGAAAATTATCGGGTTTGTGTAGATGAGTGATGAACTTTGCGTGTGATGAGAGAGAGAGCAAGAGCAAGAGAGGGAGAGAGAGAGCAAGAGAGAGAGGTGGAGGTGTAATGTGTAACATCGGTAAGACTTGGGATGCGCCATGCTGACAAGGGCAAGAACGATCGCAGGTGCAAAACGCGTGCTGCTGGACCTGCTCAGCTTGTTGTAAAATAGCTATCGGTTAGAGCAGGCTTTTGGGGGTAAAATGATACATAATGTGTCAAGGCATTGTCAGCAAATTTGACCGTTGCAGTTTATCGGTTTTAATTTTTGTCGGTTTGCTCGACTCAAGAGCCATGGTGGAAGCGACATCGCAGCGCCCGCTCGTGGGCACGGGTGACTATCATGATGATGCCATGTCTGAGGATGAAAGGTCCGTTGGCTAGCCACGCTGCCCGACCCCACCCGACGCCTAGCCCGCGCCTGCTGCGGTGCAGATGGGGCTCTGTGCACGCCAGACAACTGATTCAAACATCTTGGTGATTGAATTCATAGAGACGCCATTGCTGCCGCTCAAAGAGATCCATCCCTGGCTGATGAGAGCGCCGACCCCGGTGCCACAACTGGAGCAGCTCCCACGAGTGAAGCCGCCACTACCGCCGCTGCCCCGCCCAAGCGTCACGTCAGCAAACGTCCGACGCTCAACGTAGATCGGTGTGCCCTTTTTTGCTCTGGCAAAGCCTCCTAGTACTCGTGCCGTTTGTGTTCCGTCGGTTGAATCCTCTTACAGAGTGTGTTGTGCTGCCTTCACGCACGTCAGCCTGCTCAACGAGGAGACGGGCCTGCCAGTTCTCGCCCAAACCTTTCCGAAACACGTTAAATTTGTACACAAGCGCGGCCACGAGGTCTGACAATCTCGATTGCCAGCTCCTTTGCCAGCTGAAACTGTTCTCATCCTGAGTACTGTGCGGTCTGGATGGATGTGCTCATGTGCTTGATCATGCTCACGGTGATGACAGACACACAATCTACGCATCTTGATGAACCACTATGAACAATGGATTGATCACTTGATGCCCTCCATGGCCATTGACGATGCCGTCGAGACAATTGAAAAGCTCGGGCACAAAATGCGCGTCAAGGTTAGCGACCCCGACGCCAAGCCTGCATCTGGTGCCATCCTCCTCTCACTTTGACCTTTGTATGCTTTATATGGGTGGGGATTGATAGGACTATGTGCAACACTTGCGCATGGACGCCAGCATGACTGAGGAGGAGCGACAGATCGCTGCGCGCCAAGGTATGGGTCGGAACAAGGTCGTGAACACAGTCACTTGTGACTGCCCGTGTATGTGTGTGTGTGTGTGTGTGTGTGTGTGTGTGTGTGTGTGTGTGTGTGTGTGTGTGTTGCCTCTCACGCCACTCTGGCTCCTGCTTAGCCCAAGAAGAGGCAGAGGCCGCCGAGGAGTACTTTGCAGAGCAGCCTGACATGGACGATGACAGTGATGGGGACGCGCCTCTCCCCGTGGATGCGCCGCGATCGGCTCCAGCACCCTCACAGCCTGCAGACGAGGTCGACAACGACGACTTTGAAGCTCCCATGCTGTCCACCAATACTGCCACGCCCGCGACGCAAGCGACACAAGCGATGCCGACGACACAGACGACACAGACGGCACCGGCCACACCAGCGACGGGCACCGGCGCAGCAGATGCTCGTCCCAACCGGGAGCGCAGTGCTGATCCCGACGACGAGCTGGACCGGCTCTTGGCCGAAGAGGAGGAGGTGCGTTGCCCCAGCCCTACTCCTTTCGAGTTAACTTGGCTGAATGAGCGTGTGAAGCAAAGCATGCATAGAGATGGGCGAGGTTGAGGAACAGTGCCTGCACACCTTTGGTGGTGGCCAAGTTCGTAGTCACCTCACGACTCATTCTTTCTTGATCTCGCCCTAGTTTCACCGCCAAATGGCCATGGAGGATGGCCCCGAACCCCCCTTTTAAGCTCGCTTCCGTGGTCGCTGTCGATTTTACCGCCATTTCTGCTCGCGTCTTACTGTTTGCTTTTTGTTTGTTTCCCATCAATCTTGTCTTCAACCTCCTTGTTCTTTCCTGTCTCCTCGTTCCCATATTGCCGTTGCTGCCCTCGTTTAGTGGCCAAAAGCACCCTGGCCCGTTCGCGCTGTGCGCGATTCGCACCAAAGTCTTCCCCAAATACAACACCTGTTGACAACTGCTGTTACAAGACTGTCAGACAATTCAATTCAAATGCAATCACCTTTGTTCCCGCTCTGTCTCCGTCTCTATCTCTGGTTTTCTACCGCTTCTCACCTTTATCTCTGGCCGTATGGTAAAAACGCTGCCAAAACGGTTCCGATCACTCATGCCCCCCACCTCTCCCTCTATCTGTCTTCGTCTTTCTGTGCGTCTCTCTACCTCTCTCCACACCCGCGTGCCACTTTGCCGCTTCTTCTTCTTTTTTCTTCTTTTTGCGTTTGCGCAGTCGTCTGTGCGCTGTGTTAGCTGATTTGCCCGACGCTCAACAGTTTGGAAACCCAGCAGGATGGCCATGCGTCAAGTTGCCGCCGCCACCACGCCGTCCACGCTGGCATGCTGGCTTGCTCAGCCTGCCGCGCGCCGCGCGCCAGCTTTTGTTGTGGCCGCCGAGCGCGTAGGTCCCTCGTTCACCCGCTGGCTCGGCCAACACCACCCCGAGCTGCGGCGGGGCCTGTGGTGACGGTTGCCTGTTCCCAGTGCTATTAGTTCAAGCCCTTCATCTCCATTCATTCCGCTCACCCTTCCCTTTCCCTGCTTCCGCTACACATGCAGCGTGCTCTCGCGCATGCTCGTCCCGCACATGCCGAGGAGGAGCCTACCGCAGAAAAGAAGGCTAAAAGCGCCGAGAAGGCCACCCGCAGCCAAGTTGGCGGCCCTATCGGGCAGCTCATCAAGGTTTGTTTGCTTTTTACGCTCTGATGTGTCCTGATTTGAGGCTCAGGTGAACGACCTCTGCCCGGCTTTATGGATCATTTATTGTGCTCGGCACATTTTGCTCGGCACAGGCCTTCAACTGGGTCAAAGACCAGGTCACTGAGGATTCTGTTCACTACGAAAAGTCCAAGGCTTATCAAGCACCAGTGGACCGTCGCCGTTCTAGCATCGAAAAGCCTAGCGAAGCTTTCCAGGCCAACGAGTACGCCGCTTTTTTTCCTTTTTTTTTTTTTTTTGTTCCCAACTTGGCACTTTGTGACAGAGTCAACTGATGCAGCCTGATTTTGATATATCCTATCCCGACCTCTTCCCTATTCCTTCATAGGGATGAGACTGGCATCGTTATGCACAAGGAATCTCGTTGGGAGTCTCAGTGGAACAGCTTCAAGGAGAACAACCCCGTCCTTAACCGTGCGTTGACCTAGATCATCTCAGCCCGCCAGCCCGACCCAGCCTGCCAGCCTGACTCACCCTACTCACGCGCTTTCTGCCTGTCAGGTATTTTTGATCTGCAAATGAAGTATGATGAGAGTGATAACGTCCTTGTGCGCGGTGCACGCAGCGTGACGGACACTCTGACTGACCGTCTCGGTACGTTTGTCAGCCCCACCCCCTCCCAAGCCGCCGGGCGCGTGAATCGCTCGCCACTCTTTTTTCATCCAGTCTATCCCTCAACCGACTCGCATAGGCCAAGTCTTTGAGAATGACGAGAGTGGCGCCGTTCTCGCTGAAGTGCAACGTTTGGACCCAACCTTCGACCGTCTTGCTTTCACGCTCCACTGTGAGAAGAAGGTCATCCCTGCCGTGCTCGAGGTACGCGGTCCAAGCTCTACCCCTGACTCAGTCCCGACTTGACTGACTTGCTCCTTGACGAATGTGCGCCTTCATGTTCAAAAATCGCTGCGTTGTCTTACCACCCACTTCTGCCTCTCCCCGCGCTCCATCGGCACAGGCATTTATTGCCGGTGACAAGGAGGTTCTGAAGGAGTGGTGCGCCGAGGTCTGCTTCAACAACATGGCCGCGCAAATCGACGTCAGTGCTCCATTTTCCCGCTCTACCATTTACACGCGGTTGCATACTCGCCATCCACGGAGCATGGCATATGCGCACAATCATGTCCGGTCCTCCCCCCTCTCGCTCCCCTCTCTCACGTTTTTTTTTTTCTGGCATGTTAGCAACGCGAGGCGTCGGGTATCATCTACGAAGCTCGCATTCTCGACATTGCTGACGTGGAGGTGAGCCGAGATATTTTTGCCTCTTTCTTTCTATATCTTTGTTGAGCGCCGCCGCGCCTTCGTTCTCCGTCGACCCCTCACGCACCCTTGCTCATCTTCATCTAACATCGTCAGTACATCACGGCGCAACGCATGGACGAAGGACCTGTCCTCGTCTTTGTCTTCAATGCCCAGCAAACCCACTGCATCCGTGACCGTACCGGTGCTGTTGTTGAGGGCTCTGAGGTGCGCACATGCAATATACACGAAAGCCGTATCCCTCGTATACTTTCCACTCTACACCCATGCATTCACGCTCAGCATGACCCTGATCAACGTGCTTGCGCGTTGTGGATACTCATGGGCCATTTCTGTCCTTTTTTTCTCCATTTAGGATAACATCCAGCAATCAATGTACATGTTTGCTATGCGCCGCAACCCGGCCATCTTCGACCCGAAGCTGGCATGGCAGGTGCTCGAGATGAACCTGGTCAACTCTACTCCCGTCTGGTAGAGCAAGCCCCAATACGTAGTTACGCTGGCTGTTTGCTTCGTTTGATGATGTGGTTTATCAGTGAAGTGCAGCGCGTTCCACCCCTCCCTACCACTGATACATTTGTCCCAGACCGTTGTTTTCATGAGTTGGCAAGGTAGTGGATGGAGGATCAACACGCCTCAAATCATAGCGGAAGAAATTTCAAACCCCAAGAGAAAAAAAAAAAATTGGTCAACTCAATTCACAATGTCAGTCAATGCCACGCGAGCTGCGGTCAATTGAGAGTAGTGCCAAGCCAAGAATCTGTCTTTTGATTCGTGCGGGCCCAGCCATCACCCGCCCCACGCTGTTAGCGTCGGGGCCGTCCTTTGCGCTGCTGCTGCTGCTGTTGTTGCTGCTGCTCGTGGTGTCTCGCCGCAGCAAGCAAGACCTCTGTCTTGTCGATCCGACACACCTCAACCAAAATGTCATTCAACTCAGGGTCGGGTACGAGGCCTGCCTCCAGCATGCGATCATACACCACCATGGCACGATCAATCTCACGGCGGCGGCCATAGTGGAAGATCATGCGCGTAAAAACCTTCAGATTTGCCGGCTCAATGGCTTCCAGGTACTCATCAAAAGCTTGCTGCATGGCCGAAAAGTTTTCTGCTTGACCACAGGCTTCGATGAGGTGCAAATACGTGTCCTCGTCCGGCTTGAGCTGAAGTGCTCGAATCTCGTGCAGCACCCTCTGTGCACTGTCCAAATCACCCTTGGCCGCACACAAGGCCAAGGCCTGATTGCACACTCTCAAATTGGGCTGCATAAGCTTGTCTGTAAATGTGTCATGATACGTGTCCAGACCCAGCTGTACAATGCTCGAAGCCTGCTTTTCTACGTCAGCCCACACGGGGGCTGAGTGGTTCTGGCGCGCCTCGCGATATAAGGCCTCCACCATGTTGTGGCAGGCACGCAGAGCACCCGTGTAAAAGTCGAGGCCGACGGCCACTCGATGCTCCTTGACATAGGCGATGATGTCGCGCATCTGACGTTCCATGTCTTCGCTGCTGGCAGCAATGGCCGCCATCCAGACATCGGCTGCCTGAGGGGATAGGGTCTGGCCGCGCTGAATCGCATTGTGGATGATGTTGGCTGCCTTGTCTGGTTGACCAAACTTCAAGTGCTTACGGGCCAGCAGGGTGTGCGTGACCAGGTCGGGCTCGAGCTTATCCGACTCCATCTCGCGCAACACGCGCTGCACCCTATCCAACTGTCGGCGATTGCTGACCGCGCGAATGATGCAGTGGTAGATCTTCAAGTTGGGCTTGCTGTTGGCAGCGCGCATTTGGTCCAGCACCTTGAGGGCGGCAGTGAAGTTGCCGCTCTGCGCAAACGACTCAGTCAGAATGCTGTACGAGTCGCGAGGAGGAGTGATCCCTTGCTCGGACATGCGCGTAAAGGCATCTACCACCATGGCAATGTCATGGCTGTCCGCCACCATGCTCAAGAAGCGCATGTGCACAGGCGCCGGGAAGCGGATCTTGTGACGCATGAAAGCGTCATGCAAACGGTAGGCCGTGACGCCACGCGTGGCGCCGTCCTTCTCGCGCAGTTCATCCGCAATCGCATTCGCAACAGCGCGATAGGTCACGTCCAAATGAGGCAAAGTGAGCACCACCTCGTCCAGCAATGCGGTAGAGTCATCTCCCTCGGTGGCGAGTTGCAAAAGAACACCGGCGATGGCTCGGTGGCGCACATCTGTTCCCGTAGCCTTCTCCGGGAAACGCGAGCTGAGATTCAAGTAGGCATGCATCGGCGCGGCTAGGCGCCCATGGTCAGCAGCGGGAGCGCTGGCCTCAGTTGCACTGGAGGTCTTGACTGAGGTGTTGTCGTGACGCGCCACGCTCAAGAGCAAGCTGGTCAGAGCGCGTGTAACAGCCAGCTGATCTTGACGATCAAAGGTGAGGGCATCCGATAGCGTCTAAGAGGCCAAGTTTGACACATGAGCTGTTGTGCACAGAGATCATGGTTTGGCCGCGAGACGGAGCAGGTAAGCCGGGTAGTCAACGCCTGTACCTTGCGCGCAATGGTCATCGCTTGCTTGACCACAGGCAGTGCTGTCTCAGCCACAGCATGGCAACTGGCGGCCGTCAGCACCTGGTTGAGCGGCTCGAGTATCGCGCCAACCCCGCGCCTGAGTTTCGAAGCTGACATGAGTGAACGCATGACCGCAACGGACTTAGTTCCAATGCCGCTTGGGATGAGATGTGGCTTACAGGTTTTGTTTCTCCGGATCGAGGTGGCGCTGAAGCGCTGCGTCGATCTTGGTCACCGTTGCGGGCGCAATGGTACCAGCCTCCAGCTGCTCCAACACAGCATGGACCACTGACGCCAAAGCGTTTGTGGAAAGCTGTCCCGAGGCGTGCTAAATTGTTTGGCGCGATAGTTGTCCCAAGCACCATAGCCACAGGGACGCGTTTTGTCAGGGAAAGAAGATGAAGGTATCAACTGGTAGAATTGATGCAAATGGAATGCTTACGGGTGAGGCAATGGTGGTGAATTTCCTGTGCACAGACCTTGGAGACAAACTCTTCCATGAGTTGGGTGCGTGCTTGCGCGCTTGGCAGGTGCTCCAGCGCCGCGCAGTACCAGGCATTTCTATATTGACAAGCACCGTGAGACAGGTGGCACCCAGCTTGCGCTCGCTCCAACAAAGGCAAAGGCGACTGACCGTCGCTGGGCATTGAGCTTGATTTTTCGCTGCTCAAGGCTTTTCAGCAGACTTCCCACGAGCCCGGGTTGCTGTGCATCCACCAAACGCGCCACGAGGCTATCTAATGCGCTGGCATCGGAAGTGGCTAGAATTCCAATGGCCTAAAAGGAACAAGGCGACAACGGTGAATGCCAGCGCCCATCCGGTGAGGGTCAAACGCATGTGATGACTGACCAAATTGAAGGCTTCCGTGGGAGAGTGCTCGGCGACACAACGAAGCACATGTTGATGCGTTTCGGGCCAGAGCGCCTCCTGCACACGATCGGCTGGCTGGCTACGGGCAACGAAAGCCCAACAGAGGAAAACCCCGACGAGGTGATCGAGTGAGGTTGCTCGTGAGGAAGAGCCTGCTTGGTTGGCCTTGCATGCGGGCCAAAGGATCAGCAGAGAGTTGATAGGAACGATGACATACCGTTGCAAGAGCTGGAGGAGGTGCATGACGCCACCGTAGTCGTTGCGGTGTGCCACGGCATTGAGCAGAAGCGCAGCTACCTGCACCAGGTAATCGACGGGCTTACCATCGCTGCCTGCAGCCACGGCAGCCAGTTGAAGACGCTCGATGTACTCCACAATCTCTGGGCCTACAGGCAAGAGCATGTTGACGGCTGGGCGGAGCAGGGCGGCATCGGTTTCGCAACGGCACGCATGGGCCGCTGCTGCAATGGCAGCATCAACGTCTGGGGCGGCAAAATTGGCATCGCACAAATGGAGGGAATGGGCAACCGTGGCCATCCATCGCGCATCAGCGCGAAAGTCAGAGCGGACACCGGGCATGTCAAAGAGCTCGCGGGGCGCCAGGGTCATGAGTAGGATGTCATGCTGCACGGCAGCGCGCAGCATTTCCGCGATGAGGGGAAAGGCGTGTTCTGGACTGCTGTAGGGCAGTGCCCGAAGCAAGAGACCAAAAAGGGGCCGCCAGCGCACGTCAGTCGCAGCCTCGGGGGCCTTAATTGCACGTAAAAGATGCCGGCAGAAGACGGGTACCAGGTGCACAAGGGCTGAGGCCTGGAGGACAATCGAGGGTTGCTGGCTGTCTGAAATGGCTGTGCCCTTGGATCCGGCCAGTTCAAAGAGCTGGCGGCTGCGGCGTGAGGGCTGAACGCCGTGAAGTGCGTCTGGTGTAAGAGCGGGAGCTTTCTGGCGCAAGAACACAAACTGGGCGGCCGTGGTCGATGAAATGTGGGACGGGGTGGTGTTTGAATTGGAGAGGAGGAGCTCAGCGGCCAGGCGAACCATGCGCTCGCGAGTGTCGGCGTTGAGGTGCTCCAGATAGCGTTCCAGGGCCGGCAGGCGGTCAGCATCGGGCTGGTTGGACACGATGTTGGCGGCAGCAAGCAGGTGCAGTTCATCCGGTACGGATACTTTCAGACTTTCAAGTTCGTGGCGCAAATCGAGCGCGAGGTTCATATCAATCACCGAGAGGCGTGCATAGAGCTCTTGCAGGCGTGCCACGGGCACGGGCCGAGCCGCTGTCAACGAAGCGGCGCGTTGGCGGATGGCGGAAACAAAATCCTCGTCCCTGAGTGCCTCGGCCACAGTGGACTGATGGCGATGGTATCGAGGGCGAGCCTGACGTAGAGGCTGCGCCAGTGTGTCAACAGTCTGCCGATGACGGGCCAGCCAAGCCCGACGCGCTGCCACCCGGGCAGCCACACCCGGACGCCACATCCCAACCACTGCACGCCTCCCACCCCCTTCAATAAAGAGAGAGAGAGAAAGACGGGGAGAGAGAGAGAGGAGGAGGGAAGAGGGAGGGAGAGAGGGAGAGGAAAAAACGGCGAGATGAGACCGCCCCGCCGCCACAGACCACCAGAGGATGCCTTGGGTCAAATGCAATTTTCATCTCTCTCGCTCTCCTCTCTTCGTACCACATGCCCAAAAAGCTGACATTTATGCAAGATCTCCTCTCTCCTCTCTGGTGCATGGATGTATTTTACTTTTTGCCTCATCAAGGATGTTCCAATGCTCGTAAGAGGAGCGAAGGGCGAGGTTGTAATGCAGCTTCACGAGTCAATTTAACATCAGGGGGCGGGGGGGCGCTGGCAGTAGAATAGATATAAGAGGAGACATGGTTCGAGATCAATCATCAGATGGTCGGTTCAGGCGAGCAGCACGCCGCACACGCCCCGTCGGCAAATACATTTACATTGAGCCAGGCTTGCCCAAATTGTACGGCAGGCGCTAGGTACAAGGGCCAAGGTGGCCAAAGTCAGTCATCAACACAGCCCAAGCAGCATTCAAAACTGCGGCTCGCAGTGCTTGGTGCGAGTGATCTTGCGACGATCATGCATCACTTGGAAGGCCTGCGCATTCTCGTTGATAATGTGAAGGGTAAATTTGTTGCCATCAACAGCGAGAGCCGGAGGCACATCATATCGCAGGCAGGCCATGGCACCCAGGCCAGATTCCACCTGCAAAGGACCAGCCACCACGTCCGAATCCAGCTCCAATTGGACGGTCATCTGTTTCCTCGAGTCTTCCGAACGACGCACGCAAAACTGGAAAGTGTGCCCTTGCGCGCAATCCTGCTTGAAGCGGAAGCCCATGGTGCGATCATCATCGAAGAAGGACTTCACTCGGCGGCTTGGGCAGCTGCAGCTCGCCACACCATCCTCACTGCTTGTCGTCGTCGTCGTCGTCGTCGTCGTCGTTGTTGTTGACTGAGCGGTGGTCGACTTGGTAGTAGTAGTGGTGGTAGTAGTAGTAGTTGTGGTGGTGGTGGTCGACTTGGTGGTTGTCGGTAGGGACATGCCAAAGTGCCCTGAACCTTGGACGGTGTACTGGCCCAGGCTGCCATAGGCCGAGGGGTAGTATGTGCCATCACCATCACCCCACACATAGAGGTAGTACGTGCCGACCTGGGCCGAAAAAGAGATTTCTGCATTGGTTTGGCCATTTCGAGCGTCGGCCGCCACCACAGAACCGGCAGCATTGCGCACTTGAACGGCCACATCCAAGTTGTTCCCGTTGATGTTGCCGCCGCTGTACCAGGGGTTGACGCTCAGGGTCACAATACCCTGGTCCACGACGGTAAAGCGCCAAACATCGACGTCGTCCTCCTCGGTGATGATACCCGATGCCTGAATGGTAGACGCGTCCACGACTGTCATCACGGCGGCAGAGTCAGCCGTTTCACCGGCTTCATCCTGGCGCAAACTGAGAAGCGCCTCGATAATGTAAATGTCGTCCTCATCATTCGCACTACCAGTTACGCCGTTGAGGCCCTTGGACCATTGCGTCACCGACTTGCTGTACGGGGCGCCCATGATAGGCCCCCAGGAAGTGGGGTCACTACTCGAGCCTACGCCCGTGAAGTAACCCTCTCCTTCGCGCCTGTCATGCGGGAGTCCGAGGTTGTGACCAATCTGCGGCGTGACCAGCTAGTATGAGCCATTCATGGAATGACAATGGAAAGCGAGTCCAAGGCTGGTCCGCTCCCCCCCACCCATTCCAAAAGGAAAAAAAAAAAAAAGGAAAAAGAAACGAGAGAGGAGAGAGAAAAACACGAGATCAAAAGGCTGGAGCGGCGCACCTCATGACTGGAGGCTTCAGCAATGGTCTTGGAACCACCCAAGTTGTCAAAGTAGACTGCGTCGTATGTGACGTGCAGGAAAGCAAACTGAGTGAGCGTCGCAGGAACGTATGTGTGGCAACATGGCAACATGACTCCAAAGACATACCAAGAGCAGGCGAGTAGTAGGGCTGGTAGTACGAGGTGCCAAAGACGCCGACAAAGGCGACGCCACCAGCACTGCTGCCGTGGGGCATGTAGCTACCGTCCCGTTGTTGCCGGGAGGTAATCAGGCAGCGTGTGGTTCGCGATCCAAACGAGCTGGGTTCGACGGTGGTAACATCGACATCAAAGGGGGCAAAATCCTCCGCAACGCGACCCCACACATCAATGATGTTGGCCGTTTCAACAGCTGAGAAGCTTTTCGCATCTCCATCGAGATTGTAGGGCTTTGCGTCAAAACCTCCAGCCCAGCCATAGCCATAGTCGGGTTGTTGGTGGCCATCAAAGTCGAGGTAGATCACATTGGGCGCCCCTGGCTTGCTGTGCAGGAGGGGCAAACCTGACCACGACCACAAGGACCACAAGGATCACCGTGAGCACTATTCTGACACTGGCCTTGAACACAAAGAGACACTCGACAGGACATGCAAGCAAGGTAGAGGGACGATTGTAATGTCGTACCATCGCTGCGGTAGGCGGAGGCCTGTGCGAGCAGAGAGCGACGCTGGCGTGGGCCATGCTCGCTGGCTTTGGCTTGCGCAGCCATCTCGTCAGCATCGACCGTGTCGACAATCCGGAACATGCCCCAAGCATCCAGTTCCAAGTTGGAGCCATCTGCCGTGTCAATGTGCACGCGCTCGAGCTGGCGAGCCAGCTGGTTGTGTGCGGCCCGTGACAGCCCCTTGAGCTGCTGTACCTGATCGGCCGCCAAGTAGTTCTCAATGTTGTCGGTGGTCAGGCGTGAACTGGCCAGAGTGCATGCCAGCCCAGCCAAGAGCAACAGCTGGCTCAGCGTGGCGCGCATGGTGGCGGTGGGGACAAAATTGCTTGAGTCGTGGACACACAACACGCCACCAGGGACAAGATGTGGAAGTTGACAGGCTTTGTCGGCGGATCAGGGGAGGGCTCCGTCGGGGAAGGTGGAGAAAAATGCCACCTGCATACACCGTCTCGGCCGATCTTTGCCATGTTTCGGGTGCCGCCGGGCCAACGGTAGGGTCACCGAGGCAAGGTAGTCACAGCGCATGCCGTACACAGCAGGCAGGGGCTGACGCGGTCGTTAACCGAAGGCGGGACACACACACACACACTCAAGCGGCAACTTTGCTTTCCGTGTCTTCATTGACGGAGAACACGCGTCCTCGAGCTACTACACTGGGTGTCTCGTGCTGGAAGCACGGACATAACCAGCGAGCAAAGAAAAAAAGGCCGCGAGCTCTGATCTCGTCTGGGAACAAATGGCGTCCAATTCTTTGGTGCAGAAGGCGAGGTGCCACCGTTGGCGTCACATAGATCGGGACAACCCCCGACAAACTTCAGCCCTCGTGTCTACAAACGGGTTGGTTTTTAAGTCTGAAGGCCATCACCCAGCATCCTCATCGTGTCAGCCCGTCAGGTACTGTCGGGCTCACACAGTCAATTCTCTCGTTGATCGCGTCTGCCTATCTGCTTGATCACATTGCATGCATGCATTTAGACTTGGGATGTAGATGCATGCATGCTTGGCCCCGATCAGTTCTGCTCTCTCACATGTGTCAGAATCCCGAGCATGGGAGTGAACATTGGATGTGAATGAGCCGGTGATGTGAGCTTGAGGACTTGGAGAGCGGCGTGAAGTCCGGCAGGTTTGAACCATCGATTAACTCTTTGTGTAAAACTGCGGGCGAGTGCATCCCAAACGACTTTATACATTCGATGCTTCCGGCTCTCGCGCGGAAAGATTTTCCCCAGTTAGCTTCAGCACATACTGTTACTATGTAAACACGCCCACCCGCATGCTCACACCGAGCAAGGGCTTGGCATTTGTCTTTCGTCCGACAACTGCCGAATCACATGCCAGCTACAGGGAGACGGCGACAGTGTAGGCGCCGAGGCTACCATAGTCGGAAGGATAATAGGTGGGGTCTCCTGTGCCCGTGACAAACACGTAGTAGGTGGCTGCAGCAGGCGCAGTAAAGGTGACTTGAGCAAAAGTTTGACCGCCACTGGCTTGCGCCGCCACCGTAGCGCCTGCCGCTGTTTGCACTTCCAGGCCAACATCCAAGTTGTTGCCGTTGGACTGTTCAACGTAGTTGGGATCCACGCGCACGGTGGCTGTGCCTGCGGCTGTGAGGTCAATGCGCCACACATCTACATCATCAGAGGTGCTGATATAGCCTTGCGCCGTGCCCTCGTTGGCCGTGAGGGTGAGAAGGGATGCAGTGGCGATTGTGTCCCCTTCCTCGTCCGAACGATGATTTAGGAGATTGGCAATGATGGCAATATCATCCTCGTCATTCGCGCTGTCAGCCACCCCGTTGAGGCCTTGCGACCATTGGGTCACAGACTTGCCATAGGGTGCGCCCATGATCGGCCCCCAGGAAGTCGGATCGTTGGAGGAACCAATGCCGGTAAAGTACCCTTCGTTGCTGCGGCGGTCGTGTGATAGGCCAAGGTTATGGCCCACCTCGTGGCTGGCGGCGTCGGCAATGTTCTGTGGGTCGCGGGCAAGGTTGTCGTAGTAGACCAGGGCAGGCGAGTAGTTGGGGTGGTAGTACGAGGTGCCATACACGCCTACGTAGGCCACACCACCGGCACCCGCTCCAGAGGGCATGTAGCTGCCGTCTGCCTGAAACTTTGAAGTGATCAAGCAATGTGCCGTGTATTGGTCAAAGGACGCCGGTAGCTCTATCATGGGGGATTGATGGCACGCGGCAAAGTGATAGAAGTGACATGTGTGAGTAAAAGGACTGGCAGCAAACCCAGTTTCTGGACTGGGCTGTCCACCAGGAGATGGCAAGCCGCTCCAGAGGGCATGTAGCTGCCGTCTGCCTGAAACTTTGAAGTGATCAAGCAATGTGCCGTGTATTGGTCAAAGGACGCCGGTAGCTCTATCATGGGGGATTGATGGCACGCGGCAAAGTGATAGAAGTGACATGTGTGAGTAAAAGGACTGGCAGCAAACCCAGTTTCTGGACTGGGCTGTCCACCAGGAGATGGCAAGTGGACGTGAGACAGACCAGTGGTAACGTCGATGTCAAAGGGGGCAAAGTCCTCGGCCATGCGCTCCCAGATTTCAGTGAGTGCCAAGACCTCGTTTGCATTGAAACTGGAGGTGTCGCTATCCAAAGAAAAAGGAAGGGCCTCGAAAGCAGGCCACCCGTATGAGCCCGCCGCCTGAGAATGTCCATCGACATCAATGTAGAGCACATGGGAAGATCCGGGCTTGCTATGCAGTTTGAACACATCTGCACAAGGAATCAGAACCAGGGCATTCGGGTCAGGGTAGGGTGTGCCAAGTTCTGTTCAGGGAGAGGCATGGCGAGTAACAGCAACGCTGACTTGACATGATAGAGGCGACGACATACCAAACTCAGTGGTTGTCGTAGTGGTTGTCGTAGTGGTTGTCGTAGTGGTTGTCGTAGTTGTGGTGGAAGAGGAGGAGGATGAAGTGGTGGTGGTGGTGGGTGGGCCATTGTTGTCATCATCGTCGTCTCCAAACAGCCAGCCAAGGAAGCGGCGCTGGCGGACAGCAGCCTGCAAATCCCAGTTTGGATCAATGGGATCCTCAATGCGGAAGAAGCCAAGCTTGTCAAAGACCATGAGCTTGAGATCGTCGACCTCCACATTGACCTTTTCCAATTGAATCTTGAGATTCGCTCGAGAAGGGGAGCCCAGCAGCGTGCTGAGCAAGGGTAAGTCGAGAAAATCGGCAATGTTGTCGATGGTTACGCGTTGAGTCCCGTCGCGTACGGGCGCGCCGTTCGTGCTTAGAACGCACACCATGGCCAGGATGCAGCCAAGGCGGGCCAAGCTTGATCCCACTGTCATGGTCATGTTGCAGCCCGTTCGATTTGAGAAGGCCCAAAGGCGGCGAGCAAGAGAGAGTGCAGGGTGCACCCTGAACGCAAAAGTGAAAGAGGCCCCAGTGAAGGAGGATGGGAAAAGTAGAAAAATGCCACCCAGATCCGAGATTGAGTCTATTGAACGGTCGTGACTGGCCAGAGACCCCGGACCCCGGACCCTGGACCCCGGACCTGGCAGCCTTTGACCAGGTAAGGTGTGCAGCCCCAGTCTGAGGCGTGCAGCCTCGGTCCTCCCATGGCACCCATCGTTAAATATCAAACTGAAATAAACGATATGACATTGCGAATCTCCGCTTCTCGAGCGCAAGTTTGACAGGCGGCGTCGCGAAACAGTGAGGGGACACCGCGAAGCAGGGCGGGACTCAAGCATATCCACGCCGATTTCCCCATGTTTATTCCCACGTCCCACACGTCCATGTACGTTGTGGCTGGTGTCCCATGCCGAGCAAACTTTGCATCTGTCAGCAAAGAACGAAATGAGTCACCCCCGCGCCGCACCGCGTGCTCCAAGCTCGACTGGTCCACCCTCCTCGCCGCTGCGCTGCCGCCTGATTTGTTGTGGACGCTTCGCCAGGGCACATCTTAGCGTTTGGCCACTACTTGGTCAACCCTGGTGGTCCCCGCGCCCACCCTTGACCTGAGCAATCGTCAAGGAATTAATTGTCCGCCAGCCTGCTTTGACGTGTCCCTCGAGCTTTTGGAAACGAACAATTGACTCTTGTAAGCGTGCAGTGGGCGGGCATGCTCCGTACCGGCTTGAAACGTCCCCACCCATAGCAGACAGATCCCACCCCTGCATGCCGCCGGTTCCCTAAAGCACGCTCTTTTCAGACACAATTTCACATGTTGACCCCATTGACATGCATGCTGTTAGCAAAAAAAAAAAAAAGACTTTCGGCGTCATCACTTTTGGTGTTGGGTGACGTTGATGCCTTGAATGCCAAAAAAATGAGGACAAGGGATGCTGTGTGATCGTCGACCAGTAATCAAACAGAAGAAAGAATGACCTATGGATGACAAAAATTAACTTTTTTTTTGGTATGGCAACCTTCTCTGCTGTGGCTTCTTCCATAACCAGTTTGATGGCTTCCTGAGCTTGGATGGCTTTATGGCGCTTCATAGATGGCACCTTCCATCTGGATATGAGATTAATTAACATCCGGAGTGCACATGCAAGGGGAAGACCAAAAGGAAGGGTTGTCTGTTCCCAAATGCTACCCCAGACACTCCACTGTGAACCTTGGCACAAGGCCTGGCATTGAGGCATTGCAAGGCAGCGCAGGGTGAGGATCAGACCGACCTCATTGACGGACCCACTTGATGTCTGTGGCAAGGTGCGCGTCTCGAGTGCAAGGGGAAGACGAATAAATTAATGCACTCTGCGTTGGTCCCAATTGCTGTTGACATGTGAATATGTGATTGAATTTTTCCAATGAGAACCAAGATCCCATCACTACATGCAACTGGAACTAGATCCGGAACATATTGACATCCAGGGCAAGTGCGACTAAAACCAGCTCATAAGTCTGCCGGACTCAAGCATCAATGACGTGTTCGATGCCCTCGCCCACAGTCAAGCGTGCACTTTTGTCGTCTTGATAATCGAGACGAATCGAGTTCAGAACCTATCACAAAGCGGTTCCGGTGTAAGAAACCGAAAGGCGGAAAATCCCCAGTGTTTTAAGAAGAGGGCTGTCCAGCGAAATGTCAAGCATCGCACCTGGCGCATCGGCATCTTTGAGATGGCGGCGTCCTGAATTGTTGCCTCCTTAACTAGCTTGCATGCACCGCCTCCCAGAATGCCAAACATATGGTGTGACAAGTGCCAGAAACGAACGCAGCGATCTGCCAGCGAGAAGGTCACCAAGTGCTTGCACTTGGAATCCAAGGCCACAGCTGTGGCCGCATGCTCGTGCGCCACAAACTCCTAAAAAGTTGAACGAACGTCCAAAGAGGAACAAAAACGAAGGCAAACATCAGAGGCTAGTCTTACACAAGGTCCATCAACTTGTGATTGTGCGTTGAGACTAAAATTGTGCAAGATTAAGGAGTGACGTACATGCCACAGAGCGCCGTTCTTGCCGTCGTAAATGGCCACCGAACCGTCGGTCAGGCCCACCACAACACCTGAAGCGTTCATGGACGCACCGACCGTGCAGTGAGCGAGCATGTCAGAGTAGAGATGGCACTGCCTGGACTAGCATTCGATCACTCGATCACTCACGTGCCACGCCGTTGGCACCAGAAGCAGACTTGACATCTAGCATGGGATAGACCGATTTCATGTCCATCAGCATGGCTTGGGCCACCTGGCAAAGTAGCGTAGGGAGGAGGCACGGAAATGAGCATCCTCGATAAGCAAACAATCCACAACCCAGGCTCCATGCTACCAGGCAATGCCACTTGATCTCACCGTTTTACAAGCATCCTTGGAAACGTGGTCGGATGGGTTGAGCGTGTGAAGAACCACATCGACCACCTTGCTCAGCTGAGGGATGAGCACCACAGGCCGCTCCTGGACCATTCGCCGAAGCACCTGCCATACGGAACCACCACCCGCAATCCCGACGTGAGACGGTGCGCACCAAGCCGGAACGCAGAAGGGAAGCAGGAGCGCAGACCGACGGAGAGCACATCAAGCAATGATATGAAAAAGTAAGACGTCGTGGCCCAGGCCTGGATACCAACAACCAATGTCATGCCTGACGCCTTTGGCAGCTCACCTTGAGTGTGCCCTCGGGATAGCCACCCTGCTGTGACTGGTGCATGAGATAACCCACTGCTGAAGCAAAGGCGACAGGACAATCTTTTGCAATTGACCCCAGCGCCTAAATCAAGCATGCCGCTGAGACAATACAAAGTTCTTCAACACTGCAAGGACTGTACTCCACCCCTGCGATTTGTGCATCTGGAAAAGTACTCACATCGTTGCAGGCCTTGGCCAAACGAGGGTGGCCTTGTGTAGTCAACATGACCAAAAAGCCCATGACCTTGAAGGTCTGAAAGCCTTCCAACAGTTGAAAGCTTGTAAAGGCAACCGCCATAGCCATGGTCGCTTGACACCGCTGCGATATGCCTATAGCCCACGAGAGATGATAGAATAAGGACATGGTTTTGAAAAAAAATGAACTCGCGCCAGCACGTGATTGTGCTCAGAGCCCTCGGTCGTCGTGTGAGAGTGCGTTGTGCATCGGTTCCATGGGAGGGGCGCAGCTTCACAGCGTACCAGCGCTCGTGTCTTCCAGCAAGTGTTGCAGCACGTTGTAGAGCTGAGACAAGAGCTCTGTTGGGACCGCCCCTGGTTGCAGGTGCGTCAAGATACATAACAACAATATGCTCTCCGCCTCATCATCTGTAATGGGTCGGTAGGAGGAAGGCACGTCACCACGGAGCTGTGCCAGCAGCTTCTTGACCACAGCATTCTCCACCTGTAAAAAAAAAAAAATCAGGAGGGGGCGTCAGGCGGTGAAAATATCGCGAGGCGGACGCTTTGCGGCGCAGCGTAGGTTGCTTAAACGCACCGAGCGAAAGCTGTCGAGCATGAGCATGTGCGCAGCCTCCAAGAGATCAGAGCAGCGATGCTGCCAGTATTGGGCCAGCATGCGAACATCACGCGGAGGCGCGTTTTGATGTAGATCGGAATGCACTGCATAAAGCGACGTCACTTGCAGCCACAAGGCCTCCAGACGCCCGTCCAAGGCTGCACGCTGAAGGTTAAAAAAAAAAAAAAAAAAAAAAAAAAAAAAAAAAAAAAAAAAAAAAAAAAAAGAGCAATAACAAGGCTCAAACAAGTCAGTTTGACAGCGTGCAGAGCCTGGTCGCACATCTAAATGTCACGGCTTAAGATCCCAGCCCCCGCATGTAGCACCAACCGAGCGCGCGTGCGTTACTGAGCAAATTGCCATGAGCCGTGTGGTGCTCTAATCCACATCAAGGCAGGGGCAGGTCATGTGAGTTAACAAAAATTCAGAGAATGCTTACCGCTGTGCCTTTAACGGTTTCAGTATTGGACTGGCCGGTCTCATGCTTACCAGCGCCGGGGATAGCTGCCACGCCCGCTTGAGATCTTGACTGGGCAACAACAGGCTCATGCGGTCGCCGCGGCCTAGGAACGTGGCCAGAGCCATTCGTCAGCTAGCACAACAATAAACAAGCAAAAAAGGGATTCATACACAGAGCCATCCGCACCAATTTGGCCTATAGTCAACCCTGTGGCTGGGCCTAATTGCTTGAGCTCGGCCAAGGTGCCATGCAGCACTTGCACAGTATCGTCCCATTCAATGAGCATGGATACAACGCAGTCAAGCAGTACGCCAAGCTCGACTCGGTGCCGCTGCGCGCTCCTATATTCCAGCAAGAGGCTTGGTGAGCACTAGGCCAAACCCCCACTACACCAATTTGCATCGAGAGGCAGGGTCTAACATACCGATCGCGCGGACCACGAGCAAAAAGGGCATCAATCACCTCCACTAAACGCTCAATGTCTAGAATGGTCGTCAGCAGCTATTGGCTCACCATACACGTTGGGGTGAGGAGAGGCATCGCATGACCCATCCGAGAGTAAATCGAGCCGTCGGCGCCCAATGCACGCACCAACGAGTTGGGCTTAGCCTTGAGTCCTAGTCGCACCACAACTGGAGCTAGAATGTATGGCTCAGCGCGTGGCCGAGTGGATCGTTGACCAATTTCAAAGATGTCTCGGGCCGTCTACCAACGAACAATGTCATTGACCGCATGTATCAACATATTCATATGTCGCCACCATTATAGACCAGGGCATGGGCGAGCTCGGGAAGGAAAAAAAGCACGTACTTTGCCAGCGGCCGTGCTCTCGAGCTGCGTCGACGACAGCTGCCAAATGTACACCATCCCATTGTTGCACTCGACCAACAAAAAGTCATCCTCGGCCATCCAGCGCAGACGCTGTCGCCACCACCCATCACAAAGTGGACACGCGATGTGAGATACACGTCTTTTAAATACACGTGTGCGCAAGAAGGGAGTACAATCAGCATCTTTGAGCCATGAAAGATACAAAGCTTAAAACAAAGAGGGACAGACGCACCGAAATGGGGTAGGCATGCCCAGCCAATCGAGCAGCACAGATGCCTTTGTCAATGTCGTAGATACAGACAGAGTTGTCGCCGTTGATGGCGGCCACACAGTTGCGCCAGCGTGGGAGGAGCCCCTCGTGGGTATTGCTTAGACGCAAAATCTAGTGTGGGGGCAGCCCAGACAATCGAACAATTCCACCAGAGCCCAAACATGAGGACTGGGTGTGGAGGGTGGGCCAAGGAGCAAAGGAGCCAATCAGTCAGACGAACTGAGACGCACCTCTCCCGCTTGGTTGGCTAGTCGATGGATGAGCGTGCCAGTCTCAACATTCCAGACGCCAATGGTGCAGTCTGTGCTGCCCGTCACCAGCAATGGGCGGCCAGGCCGTGGTACCAACATGCATGTGACAGCACCTATAATCGACCGCATTGTACCGTCAAATCACAGGTTTTTTTTCCAAAATGCACGACAAAGTTGCGCCAACGTCACAAGATGAAGGCTGACGACTTGCCGGTATGAGCAGCAAAGCGGCGAGGAGGCGCAAGCTTCAAAGTGTTCCAGTGCACTCGGGCCTGTGGTGCTCCGATATTTCTGTAAAGAATGTGGGATACGATTGTGGTCCAGTTGAGTCATGAGCAACCCGTGGCAAACCCCGACCCAATGCCGAGCGGGAGGGGCGGATGGTTGACATACTGGAGTAGCATGGCCAACAGCGAGCCGATAACAATATGTCCGGTATCAGTACCAAAACACAAGAGGGGGTTCACCTCACTCTCCACGGCGACGGTCGTAAAGCAGGTCATGCTGTCACCCGTCTTGAGCCACTTGAAGCCATGCTGAAAGTCTATATCAAAGGGCAGACTCGGCGGCATGAGGTGCGATCAATCCCTCGAACATCATCCTAATGGCTCGCAAATGGTTTCGGCCTTACTCTTCCAAGCGTCGCTCAGCGATCCCTCGGCAATCACATCATTGTCAGATACGGCCGCAGCCTCGGTCGCTGGCTTGCTGTCCCTGGAGATTATCCATTTTGCAAACCACCAGACAGGCGACACCACTCCGTGTGAGTCTCATATCTGAGCAGGAGGGAGCTTTTTGCGTATAGGATAGGAACAATGATCCAGGCGATTGGGCAGGCTTGGCTATTGAGACGCACAGTGAAGTGTTGGGCTGAGCACCTCGGCTTACGATCCGGCCTACCGTAAACAAATGCCCAGACGAGGTTAGTGCGCGACTCCCGAAAAAAAAAAAAAAAAAATAAATAAATAAATAAAACAAAACAAAAACAAAAAAAATCAAAGAGTGGTTCTGGCATGAGCCTGCGCAAACCGTCACACACCGCGCCGAGCGGCCACCAAATCAAGACAGGTTGATCCCACACGGACGTGTCCATCCCCATGGCTCGTGGCGACCAGCCATCTATTGAAAGTCAAGCGCATGACTCGTCATGAGCAGCCTGGGTCGACGACAACTAGTGGTGTCAACAAAGGCTACCACATAAACTGACGGTTCAGACGGGGCGCGTGCCGCAACGACGGTGATCTGTGTGCCTGGAACGTTGTCCTAAGTGGTTGTCAAATGTGAAATGAGACCATCTGGCATGGGCAAACCTTTGGTGCTGATGGGGACCAGAGCACACACACCCCTACCTGGCGAAAGTCGGTAGTTTCGGAGGCAATGGAAAGCACGGCAAAGTCTTCGTGCAATTCACAAGGTCGACCAGACGACCGTGCTTGCTGCACGCAGATCCAAGGCAATGAGTGCGAAAAGCGTCTGAGGTTTCTTCGGCCTGAAAAGGCTTGGATTCGATAATACAAGGATACGTACCTGCTGCCCCACGATGCGAACGAGATCTGCTTGGAAGTGAGGACTCTTGCCCACAGGCAACTGATATCGATGTACATGGTTGCTCTAACACACACACACACACACACACACACACACACACACACACACACACACAGACTCGATGAAAGAAGGAGGCGCGGACACGCTGCTGTTGGACACGCACCGCAAACAAAATCCAACACAACAACAACAACCTCCGACCACCCCCCCCCCCCCCCCCCCTAAATAAAAGAAAAAACTGTGGTCTGGGCAGCCTATCAAGTAGGCTTTGATTTTGGCCCCTCGCCCCGACTCACCGCGGTCCAGCACAAGACACTGCTTCCCTGTGCAAAGCGTGCGCCCAACCAAGCGCCATCGTTCATGCCAGGGGTGGGGATGGTGCACGCGGCAGCAAGGTCTGGCATGGTGTAAATCTGGAAATGGAGTGGCGGTCTCAATGTCAGCAGGATCGCGTGCCGGACTGGGCCGTGACGACGGTCGCAGAGAAGGGCAGACCTGAATTTCTTCCTTGGTCACAACCAGGAGGGTAGACTTGTTGTGAGGGTTCCAGGCAATGGCGCGCACACCGCGACAGCGCAGGCGCACGTAGTCCAGGGGCTGTGTCTCTCCTCCATGAAAAGTGCTGGCAATCATGAAAGGAAAGGTAAGGACTGAGTCAAACTAGTCAACGAAAAGAGGCTGACCATGGTCGAACCTGTGAGCTGCAGGGAAGAGGGCCAACACGCCCGAAGTCGTAACACCTGCAATGGCATCCAGGGCGCCTGCGGATTGTATCATTCCGTTTGAGTATGATGGGTGTAGACGCAAGCTGAGTGAGTTGGTGGGACTGCAACTAGGGCGAGCCCAAAAAGGGGAGCTTATCACATGCAGTATGCAGTGGCAGGGTGCAGGTGTAAAGCGAAGAGTGGCCCACCTTCGCCGTTGGCTATTTCGACATGGCAGCTGCAGGAGTACCACTCTGGCTGATCGGCTAGACTGAGGTGGTGGACAATGCTTCCTGAAGTAAGCTCAAGGATTGCAATATCATCAAAATGGCCTGCCAAGGCGGCAAAGTGTCCATTGCCCAGCATCTGCACATGTTCCACATTGTCAATTCAATCATGAGGTGGTGGGTGGGTCAAGATGGATGTCAAAGAAATAACCGGACAAACAAATCTCACCGTGACGCTGGTGCACGAGCCCTCGAGTAAATTAGGGGAGCTAGACACGACGCGACCGTCGCGAGGGTCCACCACAAAGATGGAGCTGGCATGGAGGAGGCATGACCAACGATGAGTGGGCTTGACGCAAAGGACAGGCGTGCTTGGAAGAGATGCCGCTCGTCTTACCCATCGGCTGTGGTGCACATGACTGCTGACTCGCGCGGGCGGCCCTCCAGATCTGGATGATGGTCATACCAGCAGTCTGAGATGGTCACGACGGCATCTGTGCCCAAGATGACAAAGCTCAGGGGCACTGTCTGTGCCCGTGCGAGCAAGGTTGTGAAAAGAAGTGAGGCCACGAAAGCAAGGCTCAAACAAGTGCATGGCACTGCGTCGCTGAAGAGCGCTTAAAAGACGCACCTGGTGTGCATCGGCATCGAGGGACCATGTACAGAGCTAAGAACGTCTCAGGCATCATGCAGGGGGAGGGGGCGAGGCGTGAGCATGTGGTTCCTGCCTCAAGACAGCGTGAAACTGGCTCCAATACCTGGCCAGTGTGGCTGCCAGTAATGATGAACTTGCGATCATGTGTCACGGTGAGGGCAGACACGCGATGCACTGGAGGCGTGGCCGCCCACAGTGTCAGGGGCACCTTCATGATGCTCGGCGGCGCAAAACCGTCTACCATGACATGTATGAGACGAGGCAAAGGAGCGGCAATAAGCAGGAACAAGAATTGCAACCCGGCACAGCGTGGCCAGAGGATGCTGCGCATGATGCACGCTCGGCCGGTGCTTGACTTCGTGTCTCCTCCATTCTGGCGACGTACCTAAAGTGAACGATCAATGCACGCCACGTCTTACTGTCTTGACCCCGCCTCGTAACCACAACCCACCAACCGCGTATGCTTAGTCTCCTCAAAACAGCATCAAGAGCCAGAGTCCAAACACCCAAGTGACCCCCGAGCGACCGAGCAAAGGGCCAGTCCAGCCAGGCAGCAGGAGCAACTGTGTAGTGTGTGTGTGAGAATCTCTCTGTGTGTGAGAATCTCTCTCTCTCTTTCTGTCTCGCCTCTCTCTCCTCTCTCTCTCTTACCACTTCTCTCTCTCTCTCTTTATTTCTCTCTGACCAAACCAATTCACTCTCTCTCTTCTCTCTGTCTGCTATCTGGTGTGTTTGCTTAAAATAACTTATACACCTTGGATCTAAATAAGCGTATTGTCATCAAATGATGTTTTTTTTCTTTCTTTCTCCTTTTGTTTTCCTCAAGAGTAGTGACGACGACGCGACGACGACGACGACGCTGCCGCTGACTCTCGGTGTTGTTGGTGAGTGCGTGTGCGGAGCTGTTGTAGGGGAGCTGTCGGGTGTCGAGGGGCTGGGGTTGATGCGGTGGTGGTGCATCTGAGGCGGAGGAGGGAGAGGAATGCCTGGTAGATGGTGTAAATCGTGGCAAAGGGCGGGGTTGCAACACCTGCGGGCTCATGTTTGCGATTGTTGTGGCAGAGTCTTTGAACCTCCCGTCCTCTTTGAGCTCCCTCGCCTTGATCCCGTGCTTGCGGTATATGCTGGCCGTGTTTCCAGTAGCCTTGAGCACATCCAGTTGCTGTTCTCGCAAACAGGCGGCCAAGTCGGCGCCGTCTCTCCTGAAGCGCGGCCCACGGGACCGCCCAGCATCTGCACATGGTCTCATGTGTGGGTAATGCCCAGACAAAGTTTCGAGCCTTGGGCACTCGAGTGGCGACCACCGTTGCTCCTGTTGGATGCGCTCCCTTCTGTGGCTGTTTGATTTCTCGCCTTGCTCGACAAACATGAAGAGACGTTCCTGGTCAGCGGCGGTCGTCCTCGGGGCCCTTGTGACGGCCCTGCTCACCGCCTCAGTACGTGCCATCACTTCAAACCCCCGGCATGCCGACAGACACAGACATACACCTTATCTTCTTTCAAAGGCCCTGCGTCCGCTTGAAGCTCACCGCCACCACCGCTATCCTACCCTCTCTACAGCCCGTCGACGCATACTCGACTGGGGTACCCGAGAGCGTGTGTGAGCTGGGTCTGATCCCTCGCTCACACGCCCCTCTGGAGACGCGCGAGCTCTCGGCAGTTCCCTTCAACATTAGCCTCCAAGGCCTCAACACACACTTTATCATCGACGCCTACCACCCAGACACAACCTATGACCGTGCGGCCCGCCCTTACTCGCTTGCTCGCCCACCATGCTTGGCCAACACGTTTCCAACTTACTGCCGTCATTTGCCCTCCTGACTGCTCAACCCTCCTGCCTGCTTGGGCCTTGTGGGAAAATGCAGTCAACCTGCGCTCCTTGACGCGTGAGCAACTCATGTCAGCCTGGCTCATCCACGATCTCTCCGGCTTTCCCAGCTTCCGTGAAGCCAATCGCACCGATCCCGGTACGATAGGTGCATGCACGCGTCTTGTCATTGCTGTGTGTCTCCGGCACACCGGTGCTTCACCTCAACCCGTCATGTATGGCGCGTGTCGCGAACTTTGGCTCCAAGGACCTCCATCTTACCGCTGACATGATCTGCCATCCTAGATGCTGAGTTCCCCGATCTCGTCTCCAACTATCTTGCACCAGCGGATCAATTGCGCTGCAATGGATCAGCTGTTTCACATCGCGCCGAACCCGGGTTCTTGGATCGATCGCGCATGTTTCAATGGCTTCGCTTCTCCGTGCGCAGCCCTCCCGCGACCGAGGCGCCAGAACTGTGGCGCTTTCGCATCACCATGATGTTTATGCGTCCACAAGGCCTCGGCTATGAACTAACGCCCATCAATGCCACCACCAAGCTACCCCTTAACCAAGACAGTTTCATTGTCAAGTTTGTCGTGCCGCGCTATCGAGCCCCAGCTGCCCCGACATGCCTGACAGAGACTTCTTTGGTCTGCACCGTCTTGAATACTCGACGCCGATGCGACGCCGTCAAGCTGGCTCGCTGCTCGGGCCGCGTCCAAGCTGCCACCGAGCTGAATGACACGGTACTTTTCGGAACAGCTGACCATATTGTGGAGACCGACCCCACCATGACCAGTGTTCATCGCACCACCACCCACGACCTGGGCCTGGTGCAACATATTGACGTGGTACGCCTCGCATCTCCAGTGGCTTGACAACACCAATTCCGCCTGTGCTGCACTTCACAGATTCTTTGCAACTTTGCGAGTGGCAGGTGGACCAGAACGACCCATTCGCCTGTGGCTTAGGTCAAGGGGTTCCAAGATGTCGCAACCTCCAGCTCAACTCATCCGACCTAGCGCTTGCCAACCCCTCTTGGATGGGAACAAGCGTCGTTCCCCGCATGGCCAATTACACGGGTGCCCTCCTTCGAAAAGGTGACCGCCTTTTTGTCGGACATAGCCTCAACGAGGTGCCCGGCTATCGAAACCCGGCCACGGTACTTGGCGAAGTTCGCATGCAGGATCGCTACACCAACTGGGTGTACAACTACAGCTTCAAGGACTCGTCCTCCACCTACCTCTTCAACAATCTTCATCGCTCCATCAACACGCAGGCCGATACACGTGGAGGGTGGATCTATCAACCGGGATCAACCACACCTTGGCGAATGTCCAACTTCCACGACATCTGGGCGCGCAACGGCTACGTGTACACCATCAGCACACTTTTTGACAATCTGTACCAAGTCTATCGCAACATTGCCACCCGCGTCTGCGAGGATGAGGGGTCAGCCGGCCCACCACGCGGTAACTACTACCGCAGTTTTGTGCGCACCGACGTGGTGTGTGCCAGCCCGGATGGGTCCTTCACCCTGGATACGCTGGTGTCTGCCCATGCTGCTCGCCAAGAGCCCGGTGCTGGTGTCGACCCCAACGTCTACACCCTTTTCACTGGGCCCACAGGATTTGGTATTTGCGCGTTCAACTACACGAACCGTAGCGGCATTGACTACGAGATGGCGTATCGCATTGACACGACTGCCAACCCCAGTTTCCGGCTCGGCCTCTTTGATGCCGTGCCCTTCAGCTGCGACCGTGACGACGTGCTTGCTCTCAATTTGTACCGGCTTCGCAATGAAGGGATGGACTCGGACCCCCTCCGCGATGGCTACGTTGGTTCCCACCCACCCCTCTTCTTTGAAAAAACAGCCAATAAGCCGCTCAAGTTGGCGACCATGACCCTACCCATGCCCGGAAATGGCTTCCTGGATCTGGTCGCTGTTCTCTTCAACAACGGTCGACTCAACCGTTATGCACTCTCCAATGCCCGCGACGCTCTCCGCCTTTATGAGTCTACCGACCTATCGCTGACAGGGACGCCAATGTCTTTGCAGGCCCTGCCCAAGCTACGCCGCTTGCTGGTTTCCAGCGACGAAGAAATACTCAACCTGCCGTTTGCTGGCTGCGAGCGCCATGATACGTGCAATGATTGCATGCACAGCCTGCACCCGGCGTGTGGCTGGTGCTCGACCACTGCTACGTGCGCCACGTTTGAGGACTGCCAGCACAACAACAGTGCCTGGCGTTTGGCTCAAGCGAGTGCCGACGGCACCTGCCCCGCCACATTTGATCAAATCACGGTTGCAGTACAAGAGCGCGGTAACACGTCGCTCCTTGTGCATTACGAGGCCGGCTTTGCCGCTGCAGGCGCCGATTCCTCTGCAACAGATGTACACGTCCGCAGCTCAAGTATCTTGGTCAACGGAATGGTTTGGACATCTGTCAGCTGGAATCCCAACGCCAGTACTGCCAGTGGCACCGCACTGGTCTCAAATCTGCAACCCGCTTTGACCTATCAGCTGCAAGTGGATCTGCACACCAACGGCGGTGTGGTGAGAGGAGAAACGGTGAATGCCCGGACCCGCATGGGTCGTCCATCAACGCCATTAAACCTGACCGCCACGGCGATATCCGCAACGGGCATCACATGGTCATGGCGTCCACCGCTTCAACCGCGTGGCAACCTCAGTCACTACGACCTTTGGCGCAACACTACGCGTCTGTGCTGCGCCGATGCGGACACGACGACGTTTACTGACTCAGGGCTGACACCCTACACCCATTATGTGTACTCGCTAACCGCAAGCACAGTGGACGAGCAAGTTGAACTCACAAGCCCCAGTGCCGTGGCTTACATCCAAACGCTGACCGCCGTGCCTCCACAAGCCGCTGTTCCAGTCGTATCTGCCATCACTTCATCATCTGTACGCTTCTGTTCCCTACCAACTATTGCTCCTACTCACTGTTCGTACTGGGCCATGCATGACTGTTCAAGGGCACCCTCACCTTCACCTTGCTGACAGGCTATTCTGGCGTGGAACATGACTGCGGGGATCAATGGTCCCATCACCAGTCATGAAGTCTATCTCAACAGCACACTCGTGTTCTCATCGGCCCTTGACCCCACGGCTACATCCTATTCTCTGGCTGGCTTGACAGCGCAGACAGTCTATGCTGTGCGTGCACCCCGTCATTGACTATGCAGCTGGCCCTGGTATCTCTTCAACTCACAAAGCCACGTGTCATAGGCCACAATCGTCGCCCGCACAACTGCCGGTCCCGGGCTGCCATCCAGTGCCGCCATTTTTACCACGCTGCCCAAGGCCTTGCCGCAGGTCACCAACATCTCGGTCGCCGACTCAGCGGAAGGTGCCAAGGTTCGTAGTGCTACTCGACCAGATGCTCCGAGTCTGCGCAAGAACGTATGTCCTTTCTTAGTATGATGTTTTTTCGTGGTGCATATTTGCTCAGATTGTCTGGGTGTCGCCGGACCCTTCTTTGAGCTCGGCCGTAGCGTTCGAGGTATGCAAACTCGCAACGATTCGTCGCGTCTTCTGATATTTCAGGACCGTGGCAGAGCCGCCATGTTGTTCCGGGATGTGTTCAACACACACACACACACACACACACACACACACACACACACACACACACACACACACACACACACACACACCGATTCAACGCCCCATGCTGATGAAGATTGTCAATGTAGGTGGTAGCGTCTTACAATAGTGGCAGCTGGGTGTCGCTGGGTACCACTTTAAGCCCATCATTTATTGATACGGGCCGGCCTGCGTGCAGCGTCATCCAGTATCGGATACGTTTGGTGGGTTTAAAGCAACAAGGGCCGCTGAGCCCACCTGTGAGCCTGGCGAGTGAGCCTAGCGTGCCTTTGGCACCAGCTGCGCCCTACCTGGTGGGCACCGTCGTGCAGGGCAATGGCGTCCTGGCTTGGAATGCCACAGTGTGCGGCCTTGTGCGCTATGTGCTTCTACAACGCCTCAATGGAGGTGACTGGACGGAGGTGAGATGCGCCAGCCAGAGGTGGTTTGATTGGTGTGGGAGGGGCTCAATGTGTTTTTAATCAACCCCTCCCCTCCCCACACTTTTCTTTTTGTTTGTTTTCGTTTGCATCGCTCATATCCTGGCCGGCCTGACTTGCCGAATGCGTTCGTGGGTGGATTTGCTGGACAAATTCGGCTAGGTCTGCTGCACCGGTTTGAATCGGTTGCGTCCGCTGTACGAGTTTTCTGGGCTGGCCTTGGGAGCGGGCGTCGAGTGGGCCCTGCGACTTCAAGTTGAACGCTTTGCAGTGCTCGAGTCATCGCCCACTAGTATCGCACTTGCCATGACCCTTCCTGACGTACCAACCCAAGTATGCATCTCAAACGCTCGCCGAGAAATGCATTCGTGCGCACTGATTGTTGCTTACCCTTCATGCACGGGCTTCCCCC